GAGTGCGACGCAAAACTAAACTCACCCACTCACTCTATACCACCAACTTCTAGAATGCCACTGAAACAAATCATTGATGGAGGTGTTAAAAGCTAACAGGGGTGGTGGGGTAGCCTAATGGTTAAAGCGTTGGCTCATCACGCCGAAGACCCGGGTTCGAGTCCCCACAGGGGTACAATGTGTGAAGCCCATTTCTGGTGTGGCCCGCCGTGATGATGCTGGAATATTGCTAAAAGCAGAGTAAAACCGAACTCAGTCAGTCAGTCAGTCAGTTAAAAGCGAACAATACAAATAATAGAATACATTGCTTCTGCTAAGTTTAGCACATCACCCAACAGCATGGATCACTGCTCAGGATATCAATCGCTGGTTTGTTTAGTGAAAGTAGGTTATTTACAGACTTCTTTCTTTTAGCTACAAGTTTAATGAAAGACTGACTGACTGAGTTTGGTTTTTACGCTTTTAGCAATATTCCAGCAACATCACGGCCGGGGACACCAGAAATGGGCTTTACACTGTACCCATGTGGGGATTTGAACCCGGGTCTTCGGCGTGACGAACCAACGCTTTAACCACTAGGCTACCCAACCGCCCCTTTAATGAAAGAGGTGTTGAAAGCAAACAATATACATAATAGAATACATTGCTTTGGTTGAATTCAGCAGATCACCTTACCGCATGGATCAATGCTCATAATAGTAATCACTGGTTTGTCTATTTATAGACTCCTCTCATGTAGGTAAAATATGAGAGAGATGTAAATAGCAACAGTACAAATAATATACTTGACAAATTAAGTTAGGGATATTGGTATTTTTATTATTGATATTTTATCAGTGTGTAAATGAATAAATAGATCAGTATTCATAATTTCAAAATTTACATATATCCCCAACTATTTTTGTCCAGTATAGTACACATTGCTTCTACTGAATTTTGTGAGTGGTAGTGCAAGCATGTCTTCAGTTCAGTGATTCAGAAGAAGCCTTTTGAGTTCTGTGAAGCAGTCGAAGGAAGATAGTATCGGCCAGTTCGAATGACTCATGCCTTTACTTGGAGTCAATAGGCATATTTTTAGCTTCCTTCCTGACTAAAACATCCCCAGATACATCTTTCATCAATTTAAATTCAGAGAAGAATAGCATTCAGCTTGATCGGAGATGTGTTAAGTGACAAGATGCACCAACTTGTTGAATATTGATAAGCTGGTGATCTCGTGCAGACCTCCTTCTGGCTATGGGGGCTGCTCACGAGGCACTTGCCGCCTGATTTGCTTGGAATATAGTGGGCAGAGCATGAGGCTGTTTCTTATCTGCAGAAAAAATAGGCAGTCTGGTTAGTGAATGTTTGTAGATTTAAAGAAAAAAAGAAATGTGTTTAGAATTTTGGTAATATATCTGACAGGAGAATGGGGAGAAAGTAACTGTTTTTTTATCAGTTATCGATTTTCTAAAAAATATTTTAATATTTTTCCATTTCTAGGTTTTGTAAAATTAGGTTTTGTTCAAAAATGATAAAATAAATCACATTTGCCTAGCATTAAAGTTTATGTTCAAGAGTTAGGTATTCCTTTGTTCCAATTCTGTTAGGGCGGTGGTGTAGCCTAGTGGTTAATGCGTTCGCTCGTCACGTCGAAGACCCGAGGTTCGATTCCCCACATGGGTGCAATGTGTGAAGCCCTTTCTGGTGTCCCCCACGTGATATTGCTGGAATATTGCTAAAAGTGGCATAAAACTAAACGCACTCACTCCAATTCTGTTAATCATCAACATATGGGTACCCGGTAGGATGGGATAGTATTGCAGTTTAACAACCAGTGTGAGTTGTATACTTCCCTGGGAGCTGAGAGTGCAAGTTAGGATCGTTGCTCATAATACAATATAATCACTGGATTTTCTGATCCCGACAAGTGGAACATTGCAGAGTGAGATTTCGCACAACAAACACACAACACACACACACACACACACAATGTACAGGGGATATGTTGTAATCTTGCAACAATGAAAGCCAGAATTTTCATGAATGGATTGGAAATTCAAGAGAGAGTCTGACCATCACCACATGTGGTACAGAATTGAGATGACAGTGGAGCTTGCTTGTAGTGAATGAATATTTAATGAGATTGTCAGGTTCCTTGAAGGAACTTCCTTTGATGTTCAATATATATTTGTTTAATTGAAAAAATGAATTATAGGTGTTGGAAAAAATTAGATTCTTGGATGGAAATTTAAAAATTCAAGATGTTGTAATTCTATAAACTTCAATTGGAACAAGAAGCTGATATATGTGATTCCAGTAATAAAATTAAGATGACTCTGATATAATCGAACTCATGTGAGTGGTCGGTGCACTTGTACTCAGGGGGCTATGTATACTTGCTAACCCCAAAAGCTTTTCCGTAAAATCTGTTATCTTAAATGTATGAAGTGTTCATCTCAAGCTGGAGAGAAAATAGAAACAGGAAATCAATAGAATTGAGTCCACAAAATCCTGAGGAGACATTCAACATAATTTTGCATGTATTTTTGCGGTCACTTTTTATGCTGGAAACTGACCTCAAACAGGGAAATGTAGACTAACACTTAGTCTCTGAATATATATAACTTTGATTGTAACAAATAAACCCATTTAAATTGAAAAGGAGACCCACTGGGGAAATCTAGACTTGCTTCATTTAGGGCTTTAGCACTGCAGGGAGGGCTAGGCTGAAGGGAAAATAGTACGGTTGAGGGACTGTGAGATTGACTAAGGGAAATCCTGTTTTTATTTGCTGCCTGCCTGCTGACCATTTAAATCCATTGATTCAAATACTGGTATCTTACATGAAAAAATGAAATCATCTTCAAAAGAAAAAATCATGGGTAATTCTCACAACATACAGATCTTACTGCTTGATTTGTTTGGAAATTATATCACCAAATGTCAGATAGCTTTTTTCAAATTTGAAGGAATTTGTCTGAATCTGAATCTGTAAACAAGCAAAACCAAATATACTATTCACACTTTGCTAAGGATCAACTCATGGATTCAACAGAAAACCATGATGTGGGGTCAAATTTTGTTTAAATATCTAAGCTTATTGTAAGCATGGATCCTTGGTTTCAGTGTGTCATTTCATCTTGTGGAACCCATACCTGCTACTGACAGGTGTTGTGTACTTGTCAGTACCTTGTACCTAATATACTTGATATGTGCAGTTCCTGACAAAACATGAAAGTCAGCGTATCCTTGTAAAAGTGAATGGGTTGGCTTTGACACCACTTTTAGCAATGTTCCATGTAGGGGGCACCAAAAATGGGCTTCACACGTTGTACCCATATTGGGAATCGAACCCAGGTCTTGATAGTGATGAACAAATGCTTTAACCCTGCGAGGGCCTCTGTCGGTTCCTCCTGGATTCTGCAACGAATTTTTAAGAATTCCTCGGCAAATTTAAGCAAATTATGCATCCCATTTTTCAAAATTCTGCAAATATTTCTGCAGTTAAAAACTTGAAAAACCCACAAATAATGCAATTTCAATCTTCAAAAAGATCAAATTTTTTTGGCAGTGTAAAATTCAAATAATATTATTGTAAGGTGCTGAAGAAAATATTACCTTTAATGAATATATCATCTTTATTCGTGAATATTTTGAAAATATCGTTATAACAAATGTCTCAGTTCGTTTTTGTGTAACCAATCATACTTTTGACATTTACCCCTATTTTTCGATTCGGTTAATAGTCAATCTTCATTCAGCTTTCAAAATAAGTAAATTCCACAGCAGAAAAATGGCAAATTCTGCAGGTATGCTGCATAAAAATGCATTTTGCACGGACCAGACGTTTTTCTACATCAAAAGGTAATTTCCGTGATTTATTCTGCAATTGCGGAATCGTCGAATGCAGGAGGGACTGCTCTGTGTTATCAATTAGTGATAAAGGGAGACCCTTGGGTCAAATACCTTAAGAAAAGACAAAGGACCTCAGGACTTGTAATCTCCAACACCAATACTAATAAACTATGATATATACTATGGTCTGTTTGCAGTGAAAACGTACCAATGAATTTCACTTTAAACAAGAAAGTAAATCGAATAAAGTGAAATTAAGATTGCGAATCCTCATGATTTTACCTTGCCAACTGAACATTTAAATATCAGAATTTTATTAAACTTAAGTTGTTTAGCAAACGATTATAGTTTCAAATCGTTATTATTGGTTTGTATTACAAGGGTGTACGCACATTAAATGAAACACCAAGAACAAGTAGGGTTGGTCTAAGTTAACACACTTAACGTTGACTTGGTTGACACAGGTTCCCAATTGCGCAGATCGATGCTCATGCTGTTGATAACTGGATTGTCTGGTCCAGACTCGATTATTTACAGACCGCCGCCATATAGCTGTGATATTGCTCAGTGCGGCGTAAAACTAAACTCACTGATATTAAGGTCTTCATAGTCAATGTGAATTGGTTCCATGTACCCTATACTTTTGACTTAATGGACTGGATGGTCAGATGTCACGTCTTATTTGATTACACGTAATGTATTTCTGTTTCTTGTGAAGAAGCTGGTCAGTTAGATTGCTGACTTTGTGTGCTGGCGATTAGGTTCCTCACTCTGAGAGTGTGGGTTGAATCCCAGATGGGACCCAACTTAACAGAAGTACTAGAATCTGTACTTTACTGAGAAAGTGTAATCCCAAATATAACATTTTGTTACATGTCACTGTGCTGTGACCCATGAATATCCGGGTTAGAATTGATCTTCAGTAACCCATGTTTGTTGTAAGAGGCGACTCTTGGTCAGGCTCGCTGACTTGGTTGACACGTGTCATCGTATCCCACTTGCATAGATCAATGCTCATGCTGTTAATCACTGGATTGTCTGGTCAAGATTCGAACATTTATAGACCGCTTCCATATAGCTGGAATAATGCTGATTGGGTGCATGACTTTCTAATGAATGAACAAACAAATAACATTGTATTATATATTGTCTTTTTGTTTCAGACAACGTGGAAAGACCTGTCTCCCACTCACAGCAAAGGTCAGCTGACCTTGGGAGGTCAGACACCATGTGACAATCATGTGACCCTAAACAATCCAGCTAACTCCGCGACCATCACAATCGATGGAGGCTTCCACCTAGAGCAGGGTCCAGTCATCAAGATGGACTCGAACATCATCACTACCAAGCTGGAGGAGCGACAAGTGTCAACGTTGCCACGGCGATCACGCAATCGCACAAAAACGTGGAAGGACCTTTCACCAACAAAGGAGAAGAACATGAGTTCAAGTTACGGAGGAAGTCCTAAGACGAGGAAGAACGAAGAGAACAGCAACCAGCTGGTGACATGGAAGGACCTCTCCCCGACAAAGGAACCATCATCGCCTGAGAAGAAAAAGAAAAAGAAACGTCCCGAGAGTGGATATTTCTCAAATGATGTGCAGAGTGATGTGCAGGAATCGCGGGAAGGAATCGATGTGTCCTTGTCGGAGAGTGAGAGCGGAAAAGGAAGGTCAACAGCTGCTTCTTCTCCAGAAGACGGATGTTTCAATAACGAGTACTTCTACGACGAAGACTTTATCGTTCAGTTTGATACCAACATCCGCGATGGATCTGTTCCCCGAAGTGAAGGGGAGCCTGAACCGGTTCTACCCTTTCCACATTCTCTTACTGGAAGTTACACACGATTTGGAACTCTGCCCGATTCGCAGCAAGATGTGTTTCTGGGACCCTATGAATCCGAACTGTCTGGCAGTCGGACATCTATGGAAATCTCATCAAGTGAGCGCGAGATGATGTGTTCTAGTGATATGTTAGATTTCAGCAATGATCCACTGTTCACCCCTACCCCGACAGGAGAGCCATTGCCTCAACACTTTTCTCTGGACAGTTTAGGACGTTGTCAGGAGCTTGTGAATAGCCGGTCTTCAACCGATGCTCGTCTTGCAGTTACCTGCTGTCCAAGGAAGGATGAGTACTTCTTGTCGTTTAATGAATCTCAGAGCCATTTTACAGCATCCGAGAGTGAACATTCGTATGTCTCACAATCCTCGTCTCAGGGAGGGGCGAGTAACTCTTGCAGCCCATCGTGCAGTTCAAATGGAGAGGAGGCTGAAGAAATTTGTTCGAATAGTTTTCACTTTTGTCAAATGCAGAACACTGATCCAAGTCAGAGGGCAAGTCGAGCCTATCGGCCTAACAGCCATCAACGCGGCTGCTCCCTCGGTGTAGTGCAGGAACGATCAATTGAAAAGTCAGAGCTCAGTGACCTCGAGAAAGGTCACTGCAGCAAATCTTCAGGTTCTAGTCGGTCACACAGTTGTGGAAGTTTGCGCTCTCCAGCAAGGTCCCCATCTTGTTACAAGTTATCTTCCCATACTGGAACTCTTCAGTCTTTAGAAGATATGCACTATTCGGATGAGGTGAATGCCCAGGCAAGGTATGCAACAAACGTCACATCTTGGAAGCATGTAAAAAATCTGAGAAAGTTTGGTAAACTTGAAAACATGTTAGAGACATCGCGATGCAACAGCTTGCCTGACCTTAGCCATCCTGTTCAACACAGAAAATTAGAACGAGCAAAGAAGCGTGAAAATTTGCAGGCAATGGCCGACAGCTTCCACAATAAACGACATTCCGCATCGCTTCTGGAAATGTACCAGAGGATGCGATGTCAGTCAAATCCTGTGTCTCCAGACACCATGAAAACTGTTGAGCAAATCCTGTTTCCTCAGAATGGCCTGGGTGACGAAAGACTAGGTGATCATTTGCTGTCGGTCTCACGTACAGGCCTTGACCAAGATGACTACAGTGAACATGATTCAGACATTTGTGGATGTGGGAACAGAGGCTTGAGACTTAACATCCCGACTGAAGTGGGTCCTGGTGTCATCAGGAGTCGAGATTCCCGGACCATGTCACCGTCTTTCAGGAGCCATTCGACCGGAATGACCCCCGACACTGTCGTGCTGTGGCAAGGCACCAAGAACTTCGCTTCCCAGTTCCCGCCTAAGACACAAGACTGTGGTATTCAGACATCCATTGATGGGAGTAAAGGCCCCGTTCTGTTGGACCATTCAATGCAGACGTCTCCGAATTCGCCACAGAGAGATCTGATCTCTTTACTAGATGACGTATGTGGTCATGAACCTCGGAAGGAAGTAAAGGACCCGGACACACCTTCACCAAGGAGATGTGTGTCAGCCAATGAAATTAGAGCCAAAAGAACAAACTCTATGCCCAACTTTAAAAGATCTGCGAGTCTTTCTCCTTCGCGAATTGGAAAGAACTCTTTCTATACCCATAATTCCTTGCCCGGATCTTAGCTTCTTGGCATCAGGAATGGAACAAACTCATAGTAACAGCTCACTGTTTGACCCAGTACAGATACCAATCATTCTGCGACCAGTCATTGACGATAGTCAACAGACACAGTCACGACAGACGGGGTCGTGTTCGTGTCAAGGTCACAAGGGTCGTGTGCCAACTCGTGTAGGGGAACTAGCCTCCAGTAGCAGTGGAGTAAGCTCGTCATCATCTTGTTTTGACCCTGGATACGTGGAACCAAGACGATGTGCATCGCTAGCGGCAGATCTCGAACGCATTTTGTTCCTCCCCCCTCATCTGGAGGGTGTACCCAAGTTTGTTGACAACAATGAGCAGCAGACATGTCTACCTCATCATCACACGGACTGTCAGCGCGATGGGGGGGAGCGCAAGTACGATCGGTATGCCTATGAAATGCATCCTGGGAACTGCCAAGTGAATCCAAAGCCAAAGCCTCAACGGCGTCCCCTGACCAGCAGCAGCTCCTCCAACTCGACCAGCTCACTACACCTGGAGGGTCTGTATGCCCTGAAGGAGGAACAGAGTCCTACATCCCCGGAGAAGCCCGAGACGGGGCCGAGTTGGTTCGAGCAGCAACGGCTTCGGCAACATCCATCTGCGAAACTACACTGCTGAAGAACTGTGCTATGGTTTGTCCGACAGCCAGGATGAAAACGACAGCATTACTATTGAGATCTATGAACAGTTTGCTCATGATCGCAAGCCTCTGAAATCCTGTTTACGCAAGAAAGCCAAAGGTTATAGGTCAAGGTCATTATCTAACCCTGACAGTTTGTGTGCTCAGAGTGAAGCACCCCCAAGGAAACCCAGCCGACATTCAATCGCGTGTGATGGAATATTCCCACAACTTGTTGATGAAGAGCAATTCGAAAATGCACAAATTGAGTGTATACGTAACTTCTGTGATGAAGGATTACCTCCCCCTGAATTGCTCCAAGAGACTGAGGTGAACCTGGCAGGGATTGTGTCATCAAGTAGTAGCTCATTTGAAGATTCAAAGGCCAACAAGAGAGTGAGCTTCGCTTCTGAAGTGTCCTTTCACTCACCACAGTACAGCCCTCAGTGCTCCCCAAAGAGACAGGGATCCTCCCCGAAGCCTGAGACGGACGAGGAACAGCTTACCTTACAGATTACAGAGTCTGGTGACAGTAAGTGGGGCAAATATCTGCAGGTCTTTAGGGGGTGGAGCATGCATGGGCCCACTGGGGTGAGGTACACATGGATCCATAAGGATATGAAGTGATAGGGGCATACATGGATCCATAAGGGGTGGGGCATGAATGGGCCCGGTGCAGAGATGCCAACCCCTACGATTTTATCGTATTCATTCGGAAAAAACAACACAGAATACGCGACTACAATAGCAGTAAAAATATAATGGGCTTGGTGCTGACTTGGTCGTTGTCCTCGTAGCTGTAGATTGTTGCTCATCAATCACTGGATTGTCTGGTCCTGCCATCATATTTCAGTAATATTGCTAAGTGCGCCATTTTACAAACGAACAAAATAAGCAAACAACTGGTAAACTGGATCATCCAGATTGTCAGGGTTTAGTTCAGGACACTGCTATGCAGGAGGTGTAATGTTTGTTTTGTTTTAACTCTAGGCACGACAGTCCAGCTTGTACCCAAGCAAGGGCTGTGCAACACAGGACCAGAGAAACCACCACGCCTCGCACAGCAGGCTCAAACCCGGGAATTCAGTCCGCAGCCTATTGGACGCAGCCCAAGTGCGGAATTTGCCTTTGAAATGGCAAGAAAGAGAGGTGAGGTTACTTTCAACCTTGCACAACCCTTTTTGAACATTTATCAACCGAAATAACATATTTAAGCCCGTATAATATGCTTGTATTTTTAAATATTCATCCTCGCCGACTTGTCATGTTATGAAGTAAATAGAGATAATTATGAGCAAGTGTATCATATGACTTATACGAAATGAGTGAAATTTTTTATTGCCCAAGCGAGAGCTAGGGCAATACACAATTTTGCACGAGTTTCGTATAAGTCGTGTGGCACACTTGCAAGTGTGTAATAATTTCTTTATTATCCATTTTATTCATGAACATTTGTGCAGTAAAATACGGCTAAGTAAGTGTGACTGCCCTGTTCATTGACGTCATATTCAATTGTATAAGTGACGTCACAGACGACAAAATAGAGAAACAATGGTTGCTAGGCAAAAGTGATATGTGCACATATGATATATATGACACTGGTTGTGTTTCACCATATGGATGATAATTTGTTTACAAACCCTGGACCCGTCTTTGGACATATTGCAGCTGTTTGATATCTAAGTGCAACTAATTTACCACCTTATTTTTCTTTCACATGTGTTAAAATGTTTTATTGGCTACTGTGATACTATTGAAATTTTGCTATCTGTGAGGTTCCGGCTTAGAACTGGTCTTCAGCAACCCATGCTTGTCGTAAGAGATGACTAACACGGTCGGGTGGTCAGACTCGCTGACTTGGTTGACACATGTCATCATATCCCAATTTCGTAAACTCACAGATAATCATGCTGTTGATCACTGGATTGTCTGGTGCGGACTCAGTTATTTACAAACTGCTGCCATATAGTAGGAATATTGTTCAGTGAAGAATGACAACTTTTTCTCATTCAAGGATGTGTCAGTTGTAAGTTTTCTGATTGGTTAACATATTTGTTACAGCGGTCCTGATTGGTTAACATATTTGTTACAGCGGTCCTGATTGGTTAACATATTTGTTACAGCAGTCCTGATTGGTTAACATATTTGTTACAGCGGTCCTGATTGGTTAACATATTTGTTACAGCAGTCCTGATTGGTTAACATATTTGTTACAGCGGTCCTGATTGGTTAACATATTTGTTACAGCGGTCCTGATTGGTTAACATATTTGTTACAGCGGTCCTGATTGGTTAACATATTTGTTACAGCGGTCCTGATTGGTTAAAATCTGTTAACATATTTGTTACAGCATGTCCTGATTGGTTAACATATTTTGTTACAGCGGTCCTGATTGGTATCAAAGGCAGCAGAAGTCCTATTGGTTTCACATTTTGCCAAGGCAAGGGATCCTTTCGTTAGGATAAGTATTGGCATGATTGGTATATCTTTTCTTGCAGATCTTTCATGTTAGAAGACCCATGTTCGATTCCCACATGGGTACAATGTGTGAAGCCCATTTCTGGTGTCCAGATCTTTCTAGTATCAAAGAATCAAATTGCTGAAATCTACCATGAAATCAACAATGTGATTCGAATCCAGTGTCTTAGGATGTTTTGTGGTCCTCCCTCACGAAGATGAAGTTATAAAGTAACATCATTTTCTCTTCCTAAATGTAAATACATATTTCTGATTGGTCAGTCTTATGTTTCAAATAACAGAAATAGAATTTTTTTAAATAACATTCAAGAAAGATGCACATGTTGGTTTTAAATGACACAGACTTGCTACATCTCCTGGTAAAACCTTCAGTTCTATCATGAATTCAAAATTTGCTCCATTTTGATTGGTCAGGCAGGGGTTATCAAATCACAATAAACACCCTTTCATTAAGACAGTTGATTTGAAGACAAATTTCACAAAAGGTACAACTTGGATAGGTCTTGAAGCTAATGTTGACATGGGGATGACATCATATGCACAAACTATTGATATTGGGTCATTCGAACAAAATGTATAACAGGACTCTTGGTTCTCTGAAATTATCCTGGAAAAATCCTAGAGTAACTGCTGTTGATCTTTCAAGCATAGCAGCTGTAACTGGTAGAGGGGCATGTTCTCATTTCACCTACATCCCAATTCGCCTATAGTCTTAAAACAACATTTCATGGTCTGTAACTGGTAGAGGCTTGTATTTTGCATTTAACCTACGATTGTGGATTAATATATCAGATTCATGCTGTGTGTTTCTAGGATTTCAAAATTATACTTGTGCTTCTGGGTAGCATCAAAGACCTGCATTTCTTTAGACCTTCCTCCTTGATCAAGTTCATGCATTTTTGCTTAACCAAAGTTTTTTCATACCGATGTTCTGCAAAACCTGCTGTCTGGTTTCGGCCTTCTGATTCAGTCAGGCTGGCAGTTAGGATTTTGGAACTTCCCTGTACGAAAATCACACAAAGTTTCTCTTCACTTCCGTCTAATAAAATTGTGATCTTAAATCAACTTCGATGTATTGACCTTACCCCTTTTCGGGAGGCAGTGCGGTAGCCTAGTGAGCAAAGCGTTCGCTCGTCACGCTGAAGACCCGGGTTCGATTCTCCACATGGGTACAATGTATGAAGCCCATTTCTGGTGTCCCCCTCAATGATATTGCTGGAATGTTGGTAAAAGTGGTGTAAACCTTACTCACTCATTCCTCATTTATTCTTTTACGGTCAAAGGTGATATTTTTTGTCTTTCAGTTGCGATTAGGTAGTTCTGCTGAGAACCCTGGGATCAGCAAGTTGGTGGTGGCCCAGCTGTGCCCGGCTATCGAGCATGTGGTGGAGAACGGCATGAAGGCCTTCCTGACTGGCTTCCATGTGTTCGGCAAGATCCACATCACGCCGTGGAGGGTGGCAGAGATGTCTTCAGAAATTGGTAAGTTATAACATTATTAATAGTTGATTAATTTTATTTGAAGGTAACGGCCTTTGTGTTGTAGTCAACCTGGAGAGCAGTAGGCGTCCGAAGCTCCAGGCTGTAACATACCAAATGAAATCAAGAGATGATACTTGTACCCTTGCCTGTTTTGGGGCATTAAGGGAATGTAACAAGAACATGTTGATTGGCATTTAATATATTTTATTTGAGTGTGACGGCCTCTGTGTTGTAGTGTGCTTGGAGAGCAGAAGGTCAGGTGTCTGATTCTCAAGGTCGCAACATACCGAACAACACTAAGGGACCGTTCATAATTTATGGCTGGGGGGTGATGATGATTTTAATGGGGGGTCACCCATTTTGTTCTGGGGAGGTAGGGGGGTCATCAATTTTGTACATATGTACTAGGGGGTCATCAATTTTGTGCATAAAAATATTTGAAAATTATGCGTAAAAAATATCTGAAGGGGAAGGGGGGTTCATTGATTTTGTACATGACAAGCGGGGGGTCACTTTGTACATAAATGTGTTGTGACGTCGGTTACCAAGGGGGCAGACGAGCAAGGTGTAGTGGCGTCATTACAGTGTGACGTCATGCAAAAGTGTACTACAGAACAACATTCTGCCGCAACCTCTTTATGAAACCTGTTTCAGTTTGAAACCATAAAAATAACAAAAATATGCTATTTTGTCAATTTAAAGCATGTAAGATGTGGGTAATAAATAAAATACCACACTCAGTCTCATAACATACGAATGATACAAAACTCGTGACCTTCCTATGGTTTCTGACCTCACTTTTGCTCGGTCAGATACCATAGGAAGGACACGTTGGATTAACTGACAGTTTTCATAGGAAACTACCTCTTCGGCTCTTAAGTCCGGTCTGAAAAAATATATACAAAGTAATATACCATATTCAAAATATCCTTAGATATTAAATTTGCAATCATAATTATTAAAACAAAATATCACACAATAATACACCTGAACGTAATATCTACTGTATGTAATCGAAAATAGACCCTTCAAGTTGTGGTATTCTCTATATGTTATGTTTGGCGTGCTAATGGCAATGCTTTGTCTTTATGTCTTCAGGACCCTACACCCTGCTAGCGCCTTGTGAATGAGCTGGTGAGACAGCTGAAGCTGAAACAGACCCTAATATCCAACAAGCAGAAGTTCTATGCTTTCATCATCGGCCTCCTCAAGTAAGATATCTGCAGTTAATGTTGACTATGGTAAAACTCTGTTGATGTAGGATAACGACGTTATATCTCTGTGATCAGTTTCAGAGACAGTTTGGAGTGGAAGAAAATATACTCATGCCAATAATGGTTGTCACCCCCTCCCCACCCCAACCCCTCATTACACCCCACACCCTCTCCAATAAAAAAAATTGAAGGGGGTGACAACCATTATTGGCATGAGTATACAACAATGTTCAATAATGTTTATGTACAACAATGTTCAATAATGTTTATGTACAACAATGTACAACGATGTTCAATAATGTTTATGTACAACGATGTTCAATAATGTTTATGTACAACGATGTTCAATAATGTTTATGTACAACAATGTTCAAGTGAAACCAGTCTGAAACCAAACTGAGGTTGTGGAGATTTAGGGCCTATTCGATTATGCTAAACCGGTTTGGGTTTCTGGAAAACCATGCACTCAATTATGTCAAGACCGAAAACTGGGTTCTGAAACTTCGAAACCATCTCTGAGGCAGGTTTCACAGTTTCGGTTTTGCGTTCCCTCACAACAAACATGGCGGAAACGAAGTTCAGCTGATCTTGGTGGCAAAATAGAGCAGCAGTTTCTGAAACCAAAACAATGATAAAAATCAACTGAGAACTAGGAAAATATTATTTAAAACCCCAGTCTATTGAACATGACTATTTTATGTATCTTGTATCCATATAATTGTTTGTTACAGTATAATTCCATATACGCAAATATTTCCCTCGAAAGCATCTCATCTCTTTATTATTTGTTCATTCCCTGATAAAATGACAAAAAATATTACCTTCGGCAATGCTGTCATCCATTTCCTTCCACATATATAGTAGCTGAGACATTTTTTTGTATCCATTTTGAAACCAGATGGTGAAACCATCCACTCGTTTATAAAACTAGAAAGTAGTTTCACTTTGAAACCATGTATCCGAAACTGGACACTCGTTTGTAACAAGGGAAACCAGTTTCGCAATAATCAAACAGGCCCTTAAATATCTCTGAAATGCTAAATTGGTACACAATTTTTAGACTGTTCTATACTGGATGCAAAGGGTTATTGTATTTTTTCGATTTTTAAATTTATGAACATGATCAACTTCAATATTTAAGAAAAAACAACCAAACATCATACTATGATTTAACTGATTCAAATTAATCTAAAATACTTTAGTTTTATGGTGCTATTTTGGATGTGGATGTTTGTTGTATTGGCGCAAATTTAGTCAGTATTATTCCAAGGCAGGATACAATTTAGTGTTGATGGAATCAATTAATTAGCTAATGCACCGATATATAAATTTGTCTGCAGTTTGCGGCTACTGGATTTCTGGATGGGGTACGTACGAAGCAAGAAGAACATCGTAGATCGTGTGTACAACCCTGCTGCCATCTTGTGCTTGAGTCAGTCCCACCTACAACGTGGCTACGACGACATGCTGCTTGCGCTCCAACCCCTGGCAGTCCTGCCCTTCCAGTTGGAGTTCGACATCGTCACACCGAGCACTCAGCCTCCCGGACAGATCGCCACTGAGGCCAGCTGCAAACAGCCCTCCAACACCTCACCAAGGACCAGTGAGCAGAGGATGCTGGGGAGCGACATGCGGGAGAGCGTGGACGGAGAGAAGGGTCACAACTTGAAGTTGTTCAACAATGCAACTTTCCCAAGAGCAAGGACAGCCATGACGAATATGACAACCTTCAAGGGAGGTAACTCTGAGAAGAAGTCGTTGCTGCCACCATCTCCTACGAAGATGCCTGGTGCGGAGACAGGTCTTGTATCACAGCCTATGAAGATCATTGAGAACAATCAGGTCCTGGATCTCAAGTATGAAGACAGGGAGGAGAATGAGGAGAGAATACACGTGATGCAGTCCCCTGTTAGTTCCATAACCAACCTGGCGGCGAAGTTCCTTCTGAAGACCCAGAGTCTTGATCGGGGGTACAGAAATGGGGCAACGGAGTACAGCTTCGCGAATTCAAAGCTAAAACAGACGAGCTTGGACTCTTCATCCCAGGATTCGAGCCAGGCAACCCAAGATGGCCGACATGTCGTTCTGGACGGTAGGCAGTCCCAGGAAAGCATGTCATCATCGTCGTCGCAAACAATGATGCAGCCCAAACAGTCACCGAGAAACTCTTTCAACATTATCTCCTTCTTTGACAAACTTCTGCTGCCTGACAAGATGAATCCGAAGTCGTCCTTGACCAGAAACAGTTGGACCGAGGGCCAGAGAAGCAGTCATGAGTCTGTTTCCGAGGACGCAAGGAGCAAGAGTCTCTCTCCTCAGCATCAGCCTCAAAAACAGGAACCTTCAGTGTGTGATGTAAAGGAGGATGGGACCAGAAGCGTGGGGAGCGATGAGACGGATAGTCGCAAGGAGTCTAGCGACGATAACGACAGTCGGAAGGAGTCTAGCGACGATAACGACAGTCGGAAGGAGTCTAGCGACGATAAGGAGTCTAGCGACGATAACGACAGTCGGAAGGAGTCTAGCGACGGTAATGACAGTCGGAAGGAGTCAAGTGATGAGGAGAAGTTGGGAGCAGGAGAGACGATGTCCGAGGCACTGAAGTCCGAGGATGACATCCAGGTTGAAACAACCGAGTCTGATAATTCGGATTTGTCTCAAGCAATGAACAACCTGGGACTGGAAGATAAAGAGGTTGACACTGAAATGGATTGTTCCAAGAATATAAATGACAATGACTGTGGTGAAAATTCCGGTGCCACAAAGAGGTCCACCAGCATCGTGACCGAAGATGCTCCTCTCAGTCAAGCAGTGGATGATCCTGTTCCAAATGTGCTGAAAGAAAACGTGTCCCCTTCCTCCGCCCCCAAATCAACAAGAGCGACCGTTGCCAGGGGTAACAGGTTAGAAGTAGGTTTGGGACAGTATTACCCTAACGTGGATATTAATGCTAACTCCCCTGACTTCCATCCTGATCATTATGCAATTGGGGTTACTGAACATCCCAGCCAATCAGAATCAAACTCACAAAAAGCGTGCCAGCTGAACCAACAGGAATCCAGGTTACAAACCGCATGTCAGCCTACCAAGTCGGAATCCAGTTCTGAAAGGGTATGTGTGCACAACCACACAGAAGCAGATATACAGAAGCTGTCTTCGGATCAATTCTTGAAATCACCTGAACCGTCAAGCGATTCTTCAGGGGACTCCTTCCATAGAACGATGTACAGGTTTGTGAATGAAGCGTTATTATATTCAGTGTAGAATATGATGAGGCAACATTTATTGAATGATTGTATCTTACACACTCACAAATAAGGTGGGGTAGCCTAGTGGGTAAAGCGTTGGCTCGTCACGCCGAAGACCCGGGTTCGATTCCCCACTTGGGTACAATGTGTGAAGCCCATTTCTGGTGTCCCCCGCCGTGATGTTGCTGGAATATTGCTAAAAGCGGCGTAAAACCAAACTCACTCACTCACAAATAAGGTTTTCTTTCTCAGATATCAGGTGCCAGACCCTTCTAACAGGTCCTCTGTGTGACAGGGTCCTGGAATACTGAATTGCTTCTGGTGTGGTGGGGTAGCCTAGTGATTAAAGCATTCTCTCATCACGCCGAAGGCCTGGGCTCAATTCTCCACATAGGTACAATGTTTCAGGTGTCACCCGCCTTGATATTGCTGGAATATTGCTAGAAGCAGCATAAAACTATGCTCACTCGCTCACTTTTTGTGAGGGCTAGATTTGGTTGGATTGATAGTGGTTATGGGTAGTTCTGTTATCAGCCACACCATGATGATATGTGTAGCTGCATCTATTACCGATATGTCTGCTAGAACATTTCATCATCGGTTGTATAGTCCATTTGGCTCAAAAGCGGACCGATGAATTGCAATCTAACTTCGAAAACTAATAAACATAAAATACTCAATGAAACACTGATCATAATCAAAACATCATACCCACTCTGTGAGGTTTTTGCAGAATTTTTGTCCTTAAAATTATAAAGTTGTTTAACAAACTATCATTAAAATATTGACACAGTACACTGTTTGTTACGAGGGAGGAGTGCAGAGAAAGGGACCGCCAGGTGTTCGAGAAGCACGTTCACAGACAAAGTTATTTATTCATTAACCTGTGTTGTGCCGTCTCCATCCGTTCTCGAACACCTGGCTGTCCCTTTCTCTGCACTCCTCCCTCATAACAAATAGTGAACTGTGTCAATATTTTAATGATAGTTTGTTAAACAACTTTTTAATTTTTAGGACAAAAATTCTGCAAACACCTCACAGAGTTGGTCTGATGTTTTGATTATGATCAGTGTTTCATTGAGTATTTCATGTTTATTAGTTTTCGAGTTAGATTGCAATTCATCGGTCCGCTTTTGAGCCAAACGGACTATAATCACAGTTTTTCTGTGAAGATTTTACTACGTTTGTCACTATACCCGTTTTAAAGACGTGGCACACTCCAATAACCAACACCATTTCCAGCCTCCTCTCCAAGCTGACATGCCATAACTGAAATACTGTTTCAAGTGGCTTCAAATCCAACTCTCAATCACTCAAATACTCTATAGGCTTGAAGCAAGCACCTGTTTGTTGTTTAACGCTGCACTCAGCAATATTCCAGCTATTTGGCGGCACTCTGTACATAATCAAATCTGGACCAGACAATCTGGTGATCAACAGTATCAGCTTCTATCTATGCAGTTGGGATACGATGACGTGTCAACTAAGTCAGCGAGCCCGACCACCCAATCCCGTTAGTTGCCTCTTACGTCAAACATGGGTGGCTGAAGACCAGTTCTAACCCAGGTCGAAGCCAGCACCTAATGTGTAGCTGGAATATTGCTGTCATGTCATTCAATCATCCCACACTCTTAGAGGTTCATTCACATTGACATCGCTTCTCGTCCATCATCTCTTCTCTTGCACACACTTACATGGAAGCATTGACATCTCGCTCTGTATATTTTGTTATATTTGCTTATTTTGCGTTTCCATGGTGATACAGTTTCTAATTAAGACAAAAATATTGTTTGAGGGGCTGGTCATCTATCATAGAGGGGTAGATTTCAGGGGGGGTATTTAAAAGAATATGTTCATGAAAGAAAGGGGTCACCAATATTTCACCTGTTGCTTGGTGGAGACGGGCATGACAAAATGGCAGTTCTATTTTTTAAATAAACAATTAAATATAAATTAAATTTCAACTCTATTTAGGGACTGGTCATTTATAGTAGGGAAGGGGGGGGTGCACGGAAAATGTATATGGGGGGTGCTGTCAAAAAGTGTTAGGAGGGGCCAGCAATATATGAAACTGATCTACTGGCCCACCATCCTCTATAATAAATGGGGGTGGAGGGGTAGTCTAATGGTTAAAGTGTCCGCTCGTTTTGCTGAAGACCAGGGTCCAATTCACCACATGGGTACAATGTGTGAAGCCCATTGCTGGTGTCCCCCGCCGTGATATTGCTGGAATAATGCTAAAAGCACCGTAAAACCTTACTCACTCACTCACTCTATAATAAATGACCAGTCCCTCAGCATAAGCTTTCCGATTCAATCTGTCCGTTCTGAAGTCATGACGTGGAGTAATACATCAGTTTCAAGCTGTAAAACATTCAGGCTTTGTTGAGACACATTTGATATTAATATGCATGCCAATCTAATAACCATGGCAACTGAACCTGTGTTTCCTCCTTGCATGTCCCAACAGGCAGGACGTGTGTGCGTGTTTCTTCCCCATGGGGTGTTGACATGGCAACAGTGGTAGTGGTTTATACATCCTTATCTTAATGTGCATTGATGGCCATTGCTTTAGTGAACAAGCCGTTCTCTTGAGTTGCCTCCCTTTGTTCAATCTTCAGTTTACGAGTTAAAAAGCTGATGATATTGGCATGTGTGTGGTAATGATTGTTGATATTCTGGTTTAAACTTTCTGTATGTATGATGCCACAAAAAATATTTTAATGATTGTATTCAAGTTTGGTTTAGTGTTGCTATCCAGCTTTTGGTTTTTGAAACATTTTGCTTGAATTCAAGGCACTGTTCTACAAAGCAATCTTAATGCTGAGGCGATTGTAGCTGAAATACTTGTAACAACGGCTTACGATAGTCTTAACGCTAAGATCATTTTGTAGAGTAGAACCTAGATCAGCATACAAAGACTGACGGCTAGTTTTAGTACATGCACAAGCTAAAAGTGTCATTTCTTTTTAGGTTTGTGATTGGTCAAAAACATATTTTTTTCTATTGTGGGGTTCTTTTTAGTTTCACAAGGTTTTGTTGACTTAAATGGACACAGCAATGTTAAATTTTTCTATGACAGGATTCAGGGCTACTTTTCTTATAGAAGAGTTTCAATTAGAGTTGCTTTGACTGAAAAATAGGTATTTGGTTAAATTTAAGTACTTTCCTGAATGAATTCATGGATCAGAATATCATTTTGGAGCTGTGTTGACTAAGAGGATTATTGTTCTTATAGTTTCTGCGAAACTAGACTTCAGATGCATTTGGAAAAAATTATTCGGAAGAACACTTTATTTTCACTGCTAAGAACCGTTGACCTTGTCATAACAGTCCTTGTAGAACACAAGAACAGTCACTTGCATGCATATTCTTATCATGTTGCCATGACTACCAGTAGGACCTGTTCATTTGTTCATGCCCTGAGTCTCCTGCTATTGTAGAATCCATTCTGTTTTGTTCTGCACTGTGTCATGTAACGTATTGGGGAGCCGGGGATATATTTAACCAAAATGTCCAGTTAACATTTTTGTTGGTCAAAAGTAACTATATTTCTTTTTTTTCTGGAAAAGAGTAATATGTTTTGGATCCCAGACACATATGTCTCCCCACACTGATGGTTAGAGTTCTTTCCTGTGATGTAGTACTGCTTGTTTCTGGTGTTCCATAGAGTTGAAACGGGGCGGTTGGGTAGCCTAGTGGTTAAAGCGTTCGCTCGCCATGCCGAAGACCTGGGTTCGATTGTACACATAGGTACATTTTCTGAAGCCAATTTCTGGTGTCCCCTGCCATGATATTGCTGGAATATTGCTAAAAGCGGCGTAGAACTATACTCACTCACTCATTCACTCATAGAGTTGGAACAATTTTGAAACTTGTGAAAAGTTTGGAAAGAAGTTAATTTAGCATAAGGGGCGTGGGGTAGCCTAGTGGGTAAAGCGTTTGCTCGTCATGCCGAAGGCCTGGGTTCGATTCCCCACATGGGTAAAATGTGTGAAGCCCATTTTTGGTGTCCCCTGCCGTGGTGTTGCTGAAATTTTGTTAAAAGCAGCATAAAATCAAAAACTCACTCACTAATTTAGCATAAGCCATCTGTTGTGACCTTAAGTGACCTTTACGTTTGCAAGGGAAAACAATTTCCCCTGCAAAGATTAAATGTAGTTTTGTTCCATTTCATTTCATTCGCATCTGTTTCCTATTTATTTGTCTGATGTATTTTGTTTGATTCCTTGCACCGTTTTGTTCCCCAGTTTTGAATGCTTTTTTGTTTTGTTCTTGTTTTCTAGATATCACTCTCAGATCAAACGCCGTGTTATCACATACACTGTGCATGGTAAATAATGGTTTCATTTTCATTCAAAGTACAGTGAAATCTTGTTGAACAATCAATTCTTATTTTCTCAGAAGGACAGTTCTGGGGAGTATATTTTTCATGTGTTGGAGAATATTTAGACAAAATACATTCTTAACATTTTTCTTTGCATAAATTCCATAAATAAGCCGAATAAGACGAGCATACATACAGTATGATATGTTCTTGGAACATGCTCTCGGTGCCAAGGGGTGGTGGGATAGTCTAGTGGTTAAAGCGTTGTCTCGTCACGCCGAAGATCCGGGTTCAAATCCCCACATGGGTACAATGAGTGAAGACCATTTCTGGTGTCCCCTGCCTTGATATTGCTGGAATATTGCTAAAAGCGGCGTAAAACCAAACTCAGTCAGTCAGTCTCGGTGCCAATTGTCTTCTCATCGGACAAATCAGTAGCCCTTTGGTTAAGTGTTTGCTCATCACGCCAAAGTTCTGGGTTTGAATCTACACATGGTAAATGTTTTTTCCTTGACATTTTCCTTTGTATCCATCAATACATCAGCAAAATAAATTCCATGAACTAAGGTGAGCATCTTTAGGATAGTATACTAATGTATGCCATAGGGTCAGTGTGCGAAATTTGTCTAGCCATTCGGTCTAGCTATGCCTGAAAGTTACTAGCCCATAAAATAATTCACTATCCCGAAATTAAAATGTTGACACGGGTTTCATCATTAAGCAACTAATATGATGAACATTTTTATCAGGCCATAATATTGCATGATTTAAAAGTGTATTATAACTTAACAAGTCGGGGAGAGTGCTATATTTACTAAAATGACCTCATTAAAATTCACTAGCCAGTTGGGCCAGTGACTGTGAAGATTTACTGGCCTGACTGGATTTTTACTAGCCACGGGCAAGCCGGCAAGTGGGTATTTTGGACACTGCATGTGGTATGTTGGGAGGTATTCCAGAGCACCTTGGCATCTTAACACAGACCTAGATCAGTGGTTTAAGTGTTATCAAACGAAAGGTTCAGGTTCGATTTTAATTAAAATAAGTGAAACCCGTTTCAGTGACGGTCATGATTTTAAAACTGTTTTGGGGGCGTTAGGGTAACCTGGTGGTTAAAGCGTTCGCTTCGTCACGCCAAAGACCCAGGCCCGATTCCCCACATGGGTACAATGTGTGAAGCCCATTTCTGGTGTCCCGTCATGATATTGCTGGAATATTGCTGAAAGCGGCGTAAAAGTAAACTTCACCCACTCACTCTAACATACATCAAGATTAAGGCTGATGTCATGAAGGCATCCGACTTGAAGGATTTTGTAATGGTTAGAAGCTATTCAGATCAATTCGATAGGTTTCACTGTATTTTGATTTTGTTCTTTAGGCCGGACCAATTTTATTTCTTCATATACGAACTTTTGTCTTCAAAAACGGAAAGGCAGGAGGGAAAAACAAAAATCACCAGTCAAAATAATATTCCTAGAATACTAAAAGTATTTTACTTTTGGCAATTTATGAAGTGTACATGGGGCAAAAAACAATCGAAAAGCAAGTTCTTGTAAGTTTACATTTTTGGCCAATAAAAACATTTGAATTTTATGTTTTGAGCAGGGAAAATTAAATTTTTTATATATATTTTATCCTTGAAAAAATATCACCGGCAGATCCATGAAACAAGAAATAAAATTGGCCTGGCCTTACAAGAATTTATAGATGTTCATTTTATGTTCAAATTTTTAAAATCAGGGCTCTTTCCACAATGCTATCTTAGTGCTAAGTCGATTATAACTCTGTATGTATATATTGACTTATAACAGCTGTAGCTCTGACATAGCTATGTGGAACTGCGCCTGTTCTTAATAAACTGTTCTGTTTATAGTATACTGCATGTATTCGCCATAATAAGCATTCTGTTCCAATAAGCCCCCATGGGGCGGTGGGGTAGCCAAGTGGTTAAAGCGTTTACTAGTCATCTCGAAGACCCGGGTTCAATTCCCCACATGGGTACTATGTGTGAAGCCCATTTCTGGTGTTCCCTGCCATGATTTTTTGTTGGAATATTGCTAAAATCGTTGTAAAACTAAACTCAATCCATCATTCTCTGAGTGCCCTCATCTTCTGTCTGTATTATCGCCCATTGATTCTAACTGTATTTGGAATAGTCCATATTATATTGTGTATTTTATAGATTTCTTTTTACCATAAATAGATGTGTAGAATGGGTTTATAATTGCCCTGTAAATAAGAACAATTATATTTAAAAAAATTATTTCATTGATTTTTGAACTGAGTTTGTTCAGTGTTCCACTTGACCTCTGATCATAAATTGAGCTCCCTCTTTTGTCTATTTTCGAAGCCCATAGAGCGCTTGTTATGGTGAATACGGTATATGTATTGCTGTCTTGTATTTTCATGTCAGTATATACTACTCAAAAGGGGTTAGGGTACATTGACTATAGTAATATAATAGAATCATCTTTTCTTAACTTCTTTTGAGCAGTATATTTTGTTGTAAGTTCTTGCAGTTCTTGAAGTCATGCAAATTCTGGCACCATACCCAGATTTTACTTTCTATACTTACCATTCATTATAAATGAAAAAAGTATGTAAGAGTGTTACTCTATAAATGTTATTTGATGTTTCAAATATGAAAAGCATGTCTCTTTAGATCTGGAAAAGACATATATCTTTACTGACATACAATGTATTTGTCTTTAACAGGTACGTGATCACCTTGGTATCATGTGATCCAGATGACAATGATCATATGAACTACGAGATCGGAGAATACCTGGAAGTGCTGGCTCAACTTGACAGCGATTGGTTATATTGTGCCAATGGGAAATGTGAAGGTTTGGTCAGATGCAGCGCCGTTAAGCCAATCACGGATGAGGATATGTTTGAACAGCTCCACGACAACTTTTATCGCTGACCCATCACAATTCATATGTGTATTCATATATATTGTAATTTCAAACCTTGTGGCATTACGATTTTTCTTAAATAATTAAAATTGTGCTATTATCGTTCAAATTATCCACTTCAGACTGTTTCGGTTAAATGTGCTTGGAACAGTAGCTGTGTCACTGTTGTTTTTTGAAATATTGAAATAGAATTGCTGCATTTATTATGGAAATTTAGGATTGTTAGCTGCACGTGTTCTAACCTTGGGACAACATACAGCTGAAGATGCTGGTCACTGTTCAAGAATGGTGTACAATTCTCAGCGTAGGAATACACGTAAACAGAACAACCAACATGTGACTAGACGTATACGACTTGTGTACAATTATTGTCGACACAGTGAAGCATGTACAGCATTGTGTCTCGATGTAACAAAGGACTTGTTTCACTTAGAGAAAAAGACATAGACACCACCCATTGAATAATCACCCTAGATATTGTCAAGTGATAAATACCATTCACGGTCTTGTGTGAGAGTTATCTCCCTTTATTCTTACCATTGTGCTTGCTGCCCATTCAAAATGTCATGTTGATTTCAGTAATATGTTATTAGTTTATATATACAGGTTAAGAATCACATTCTGCATGATGATCTAAGGGAGACAACTCTTACTTGTCTAAGGGAGACAACTCTTACTTGTCTAAGGGAGGTAATTTTAATAGACCCATGTGGCCCTCACTTGGACCTACTGCTGCAATACATGTGACTATAAAGTGCATTTAGATGAACAACCTTTGTTTGTTTCACATATATTCATCATCATAATCTCTCATGTTGTTGATAACTATAATCATCCACTGTAACTATTACTAATCATTGAATATCGTAGTCGGTAGAGATCCTCTGGATCTGTGTATATTACAATGTGTCACGTTCGACTGTATGGGAAATTTTGAGAAATCAGTACAGCCTATGTAATGTATTCGAGTATGTTTTTGTTGGCCTGTGACATTTGCCCCTTTACAAGCACTATTTTGTGGTCAGTGAGTAGTAATACATACGCTTTAAGATTCTGTGACTGGGACTTATTGCCTTCCCTGTATCTCCCACAGAGCATACCATGTAGCAGTCACTATAGCGGTTGCTTCATGTTGATGTATCCTTGATCTATTCCTGTGGGTTCTTAAGACGACCAATGCCAGAATCCCTGGGTTCTCTCTGGGTTGTAAGGAGCTGGTTTTAAAGTGGGTCTGGACTTTGGTAAAACAGCAGGCCATGAAAGTTTGATTGAAGTCACTGGAATATCAATTTGTCTGCTGATGTTTGATACTGTCACTTATTACAATGTCTCCACCTTGCTGATACATCATGGAGTATACTTTCCCTTTAATAAAATTAATATTTGGTTGCACCAGGTGCAACCTGATCACAATGTAGAAAATATCACTGGTGCAACCTGATCACAATGTAGAAAATATAATTCAAAGTCCAACTCGATCCAGGGTGGCTTTCAGTAGATTCATGAAAAAGCCATTTTTTATGCTGGGTTAAGTTTGTGAACACAAAAACAAATGGAAACGTTTCAATCAAAAATGTTTGCTTGCACATGTGCAAGATCTGAAGCATTATTTGACATCTCATTTTTCAACCTATTGAAGTCTGTCATCAGTCTGACAAAAAACTAGACCAAGTGAACTGATAACCATTATGCTTAACTTAAAATACTAATTGCATATTCTCGTGCTTTTGTGCGCCCACTTGATGTGAATTTGAGGTGCTCAGAGCACGCTCGACGACATGATGTTGTTACCTGCACTGTCCGTGTTGTTGTTGTTGCTGGCGTTGTTGTGTTGTCACATCTCCCATCATCGTTGTATTTACTCATTGCAAGTCGGCGTCTTTGGTAAAGGGTCGTACATTTTCATAACTCCCTGTGCCACTTGAAGTATGTGTAACCATGGTAACTACACTAGATATGCAATTACTTCTGCATTATACTTCTGTGTGAAAATTATGTTGTTTATTTTTTATGGAAATAACACACCATTGATAACAACGTTCAAAATAACCAAAAACACAAGTATTAAATCAAATAAATGGCATCGCCTGTTAAAAGGAATTTATTTTTCAAAATATAATTTTGAAATATTTTGATCATTCAGTCAAAACACAAATGTGTAGCTTTTGCAATCAATCAAAACATTTTTGATGAAGTGTTCAACTTCTGCTATCTGCATCTCTTTTGAATACCAGGAGTGCAAAGGAGCTTTGACATTAACATTGATTTTGAGCTATAGATGACATTATCTATCATGTCTTGAACAAATCAGACATCAGCTTTCTAGTCAAATTCAGCTACATCTTGATAGTTTATCCTTTTGGGTGTAGATGGCAACATGCTCAGAAATTTAAGTATGAAATGCCCACAAAATTGTTATTAGACAGCTTTATTTTTATCATTTGGAACTCACAGATTAAATGCCAAGATGAATGAAATTCCCACAAAACTGTCATTACAGAGCTTTTTTTCATTTGGAACTCCCTGATTATGTTCATTTTCAAGACTCGACAGATGTATTTATACTTCTCTCATTATCTGTCATGTCGACACAGCAATAGTAATCCAGGTTTAGTCAAGATGACCCCACTCTGCATGCTTTTGTGCCAAGAAGAGGTGGACAAGTGTTTTCTATGCTGCTCCGTGAAATTCACAGAGATACTTTTTTGGATATTTGAGATTACTCTGAAATGTATTCATGAACCATTAAGGTATCTGCAAGCAAGGTAATCACTAACTGTCCCTTGTCCTGGTTCTGAGTCCAGAATACCGACCCGAGACGAGGGATGTTCCAGATGGACTATTCATGCCGTCTGCTCATTATCCATGAAATGAGCTGTGGAGTAGTTGCATGCTATGCACGAGGTCTGCTCTTACTTACAGGAGAAATTAAACATTTTACTCTTGAAACTGTACATATTTTTTAGATTACAAGAATCCTATTTTGTAAGCCTTCGATTGTTTGTTTTCGAATGAACAGCCCATTCCAATACAGTTCCAGTTTGTCTTGAATGCAGCTTGGCATTATGTTATATTTCAGTATTTCGTGCAATGTCATTAAAATCAGATCTGTTCCTGTGATATAATACCTCTAAGGATAAAGAATGGAGGACAGTTCTGACAGTTTTGGAAATGGACTTGTCAGTGATTCCGAGCTAGGTCTGACTGAAGGATGAGGAGGTTCTTGAACAAATCAGACGTCAGCTTTCTAGTCCAATTCAGCTACATCTTGATAGTTTATCGTTTTGGGTGTAGATAGCAACATGCTCAGAAATGAAAGTATGAAATGCCCACAAAATTGTTATTTGACAGCTCTATTTTTATCATTTGGACCTCACAGATTAAATGCCAAGATGAATGAAATTCCCACAAAACTGTTATGACAGCTTTTTTTTTCATTTGGAACTCCCTGATTATGTTCATTTTCAGATGACAGATGTATTTATACTTCTCTCATAGGTACTGAGAATTGAGAGGCCTCAGCTGATTGGCTGATTAGAAAGTTGACCTGATGCAGCCAGTGTGCGAAATAGTTTCCACATTTTGCTAGCCAATCGGGCTAGCTATTTTGGAGAGTAACTAGCCGACAAAATAATTCACTAGCCTGAAATTTGAATGTAGAAACTAAGCAAAAGATTTCAAATATAGATGAGAATAAGATATTGTCGGCATGGCACGGATTTCATCATTAAGCTGCTAACGTGATGAACATTTTTATCGGGCCATAATATATCTGGCTCGACAGGATTTTACTAGCCACGGGCTAGCGGGCCAGTGGCTATTTCGCACACTGGATGCAGCCTCATTAGTTGTTTCCATATCTTCCTACAGAGAGGGCTGTGGGGTAGTCTAGTGGTTAAAGCATTGGCTCGTCATGCCGAAGACCCGGGTTCGAATCCCCACATGGGTACAATGAGTGAAGCCCATTTCTGGTGTCCCCCCGCCGTGATATTGCTGGAATATTGCTAAAAGCGTAAAACCAAACTCAGTCAGTCAGTCTTCCTACAGAGAGGTGTTGTATTGAAGTGGAAGATCTGGTTTTAATACAAAGCTTCGAAAACAGAGGTATTTCCAGATGTTATCTCACGTCGCGGAGCAGAAAGTCACTGTTATCGGGAAATAGGCAACCATACATATTATTGAAAAAGTCTTTTAGAATAATTTTAGTATTACGTAAACATGAAATATGAAAGAAATAGGTAAGAGGATATTATGATATCTTACAACTGGCAATAAGATTATACAGGTTTGTTGGTATTTATATGTATATGACAGCTTACTACTCATTATTCATGTACATACTTAAGATTATACAGGTTTGATGGTATTTATACGTACATGACAGCTTACTACTCATTATTCATGTGCATACTTAAGATTATACAGGTTTGATGGTATTAACACCTATGTGGGAGTTATTTACATTCATTATCCTTGTAAATACTTAAGAATATTCAAGAGAATTCTTATCCTAATGACTGGGATTTAACTTCTGCGATAGGAATGCACAAAATTACATATCGTCAATTTCAAGTAGAGCCATGGCTTAATGAATCTAACAGCAAGCTACCCTGCCGCCCCTGTTATTGTGCTGAAAATCCTAACAATGGAGTACAGTCTCCCACCAGCAGAAATATACTGGACAAAAATATATAGTTAGGGATATATCGATATGTAAATTTTGAAATTATGAATACTGACCTATTTATTCATTTACACACTGATAAAATATCAATCATAAAAATACCAATATCCCTAACTTATTTTGTCCAGTATATTGTGGTGTTTCCATCAATGACAACCCGGATGGACACCAAGCAGCTGGTATTGTAATTAAACATTGTTGCTGATACACAATGTGGACGATAACAATATATGCAATGCAAAAGTACAGTAGTTTGTGCATGACGATTTCATATTTGTAAGTATTTGCTTATGTTATCATTGTATACATTGTATGTTTCAAATGTATTTGTATAGAAAATGTACTTTCTCGTCATCACTTAGTTTCTGGTATTGGGATTATTTTTGTTTCAGATATTGGAATGGTAACATTATATGTAATGTTAGGGTAGTTTGTATGTAGTTATTTTATATTTGTAAATATTTACTTATGTTATCATTGTAAACTTTGTTTGTTCTGAATTTATCTTTGTATGAAACAAATGAATTACTCATCTAGATGTATTTTTTCTGGTAATGGGGAACATTCCTCAGTTATCCCCCTTTACGACTTCGCCAAGAGGTGGGGCCAAGCACTACGATCCTACGCGTACTTCCGGTATTTCGAAACTGTTCAGAGAAGTGTTTACACTGCTAAGTAAAATGTTTTACTGAAGTTCGAGCGAGTCCGATATACTCCCTTGAGTGTTCAAACCCGCTATTGTTGGACCGTAACTACCGCAGTGCCCCAAGCGGGCAAGGGGGTGCAACTCCAGGAATGTTCCCCATTGGATAGATTTAGTTTCTGATGTTGGATGTAGTTGCTAATGCCATAATTACGAGTATTATGAGTGGATATGGGTTCTTAAATTGATAAACCTATGAGCAACGATCTGCGCAATTGGGAACCGATGACATGTGTCAAACAAGTCAGCGAGCCTGACACCCGATCCCGTTAGTCGCCTCTTACGACACGCATGGGTTACTGAAGATCCATTCTAACACTCACCAACACGGGTGAAGTATCATCGTTGTTGATAATATGTTACTAAAGCTTATAGTACTTCGTTTATATCAAATTTGGAAAGATAGAATAATGTTTCCTTTGTGTATGCATTGAATGTTATAATCACGTGATCTTTGAACCATGATAATATCTCTCTTGTTTAGCAAATGCATATATTTGTTGTTTTTTCCAAATCCAAACATATCAATGGTAGACTCCTGGTTTCGAATATCGTATATTCAAGAAATATTAATGTTAAGGTTAACTTATTATTTTAGCTTGGGATTCAACAAGTAAATAAGGGTTAACTTATTGTTTTAGCTTGGGAATCAACAAGTAAATAATGGCTAACTTATTTTTTCGCTTGAGAATCCACAAGTAAATAATGGTTAACTTATTGTTTTAGCTTGGGAATCAACAAGTAAATAATGGTTAACTTATTGTTTTAGCTTGGGAATCAACAAAAAAAAAGGTTAACTTATTGTTTTAGCTTGGGAATCCACAAGTAAATAATGGTTAACTTATTATTTTTCGCTTGAGAATCCACAAGTAAATAAGGGTTAACCTATTGTTTTCGCTTGGGAATCAACAAGTAAATAATGGTTAACTTATTGTTTTCGCTTTGGAATCAACAAGTAAATAATGGTTAACTTATTGTTTTCAGCTTTGGGAATCAACAAGTAAATAATGGTTAACTTATTGTTTTAGCTTGGGAATCAACAAGTAAATAATGGTTAACTTATTGTTTTAGCTTGGGAATCAACAAGTAAATAATGGTTAACTTATTGTTTTAGCTTGGGAATCAACAAGTAAATTAAGGTTGACTTATTATTTTCGCTTTGGAATCGACAAGTAAATAATGGTTTACTTATTGTTTTCGCTTTGGAATCAACAAGTAAATAATGGTTAAAATTATTGATTCCGCTTGGGAATCAACAAGCGAATAATGGTCAAGTTAATATTTTAGGATTGGAATCAACAATTGAATAATGGTTAACTTAGAGTTTTCGCTTGGGAATCAACAAGTAAATAATGGTCAAGTTATTATTTTCTAGCTTGGGAATCGACAAGTAGCTTAAGGATTAACCTATTGTAATAATAATAAGTTAACCCGAAAGTTACTTGGTGATTCCCAATCTAAATCATGTCAAAACATGAAACAACAAAGAAATGTGATACACTTAACTATGGTATTTTAAAGTTAACCAAAGTTAACAAATCTATACAACTCACTGTGTGGATGTTGGGTATAGAATGTTAAATCTTTAGTATTAGCTATGACGTTTTACATTATCTTCATGTTTCTGCGGTTGTTTGACCGCATCGTGCCTTTGCTGATATTCCAGGTTTGTAATAAGATCGCGCCATTTCTGTTTCAATTTATTGTACTGTCTAACGCTGGAATATGTATTGTGATATGCCTTTTATAGTATAGGAATACCTACACTGAAAACATATACTGATAACAAATGCTGATGTATGATATTCAGTCATATTCAATTTGCCGTTTGCTAATTATGATTGTATAAAATACTTATCCTTATAAAGATTATACAGGTAGGGTGACATTTATACCTACTATGACAGAATGATCCATGTAATTATCCAAGAACGTTATCCATTATCCAAGAAAGTTATCCATTATCCAAGAAAGTTATCCATTATCCAAGAAAGTTATCCATTATCCAAGAAAGTTAAAAAGAAAGTTCTGGCCATTCAATCGGATCCATCACACCTTTTAAATGAATGTTATGAATTTCTGCTTTCTGGCCGCCGTTTCAAAATCATGTATTACAAAACTAATAGAACTTCAAAATCATTTGTCCCATACAGCATAAAACTTCTAAATTTTCCTCCAAAATTGTAATAGTGAAATCAATGATGTGGCACGAGTGATTATTATATTATGTACTTTGATTATGATTCATCATTATATTGTGATTAGCTTGACATTGTATATACAGTCGAGCACCGTTGTCTCGATATTCATTGAACCAAGAAAAAAATATCGAACTTCGAGATATCAGACCATGGCATATCATAACACATAACTATGTATGTTTTGATACGAATCTATAATCCATTATCGGTAGTATTTAGTCGTAACATGAGTACTTCGTAATTAAATCCTTCTTAATTAGTCCTAATTTAATAACAAACAAGTGACACCTTCAACTCAGTTAGCCCCAGTACTTGCCCATGAAAGGTAGGTGAATATCGAGTTTCGTTTCAAATACCGAGTTAAAGGGGTAATTTCGCGTGTTGGGACCATGAAATTATAACCAGATATCCAAAATATCGAGACATCCGTATCGAGTTAAAAGAGCTTGAAGAATGATAAATGATGAATGATGATTTTGACGGGACCGTGATGTTATATCGAGGAAACAGAGATATCGAGTTATCAGATATCAACACAACGGTGCTCGACTGTGTGTATATATGTGTGTATATAAATTATTTGTTGTTACATGCTTTGTATTGGCTCTTTGAATGCAAGACAAATTTCCCTTGCGGGACAATAAAGTTTATCTGATCTGATCTGATCTGATCTGATCTTATCTTATCTTATCTTATCTTATCTTATCTTATCTTATCTTATCTTATCTTATCTTATCTTATCTTATCTTATCTTATCTTATCTTATCTTATCTTATCTTATCTTATCTTATCTTATCTTAAATACTAATTATTATACAGGTATATTGGAACTTATACCTATGTGACAACTATCTACATTCATTATCCTTATAAATACGTAATATTATACAGGTAGAATGGTGTTTATATCCACGTGACAGCTACAGTGATTTTCACTGCACATTCTTAAAATTATACAGGTGTGATGGTATTTATACCTATGTTACATCTAGCTCCTCAACACACACACACACACACATACATACATACATACATACGATTGTGAGGTTTCAGTTTATCGGTGTCCGCGATGTCTTGTGGTTAAGGAATTTGCCTCGATTACCAGATTGTCCATTGTGTGCAGCCTATTCCACAGTTCCCAGATATCCCTGGAATATGTTTACAACTGCGCAAAACTCATCCACTAATGATTATGATGAGTGAATGAGTGAGTGAGAAAATTACGGCGCTTTTAGCGGACGCTTTAACCATCAGGCTGCCCAATCGCCAGATTTTCAGATTGAACTGTCTTTCTTCAAAGATTGTGTTTCTCATGGCGCAGAGCGAAAAGATTATTTTGTAAACCGGGTTACCTCCGAAGTGTTTAATGTCTTATTCCATCAGTATCTTATGCTTGCCTGAAGAACCGACGAAGGCGGGAAGGTGACAAGTGACAAATGTGGTAAGGCTCCCGGCTTTGGTTGAAAATCAAGAGAGAAAATTGTTCAGAGAAACCGATAATTGTCATAAAGGTTGTCTGGGATGGATCGGATAGTCGATTGTCTGTTTGCGAGTAATGTCCCTCTATTCCGGCTGGTAAAGGCTCGAAGGCAGCAAGCCAGCGTGTTATAGGTGAAATGAGACTTCGGCGTTAACGCTCTAACATTAACTTTGAACTTACATAGACAGGAAATTACCTCAGCGTCAGATCACAGGAATGACGACTACGTTTGTGAACCAACCATAGGTAGATGTGATGTTATTACCCAGTCTTAAGCATGTATATACTTTCCTTGAAGAATTTATGACTGGCCCAATATTTTAATAGATAGTTTTCATCCATCAAAGAGAAATAGTTAAATGATGTTATGAAAAAGCGACAAAGATTATTCATATCCATAAGAAATATATATTCACGAAAATAAGAGGCGATTGTGCGATCACGACTTTTTCGTGAGTATGTTTTTTTTTTAATGAAACGCCGTCTAATAGCGATGATAGAGATACATTTATGTTAATTTTCAAACAGATATATTATGACTGCTTCCTTCAACAACGTAAACGCTTCACCCAAATGTACTGACTGACTGACTGAGTTTGGTTTTACGCCGCTTTTAGCAATATTCCAGCAACATCACGGCGTGGGACACCAGAAATGGGCTTCACACATTGTGCCCATGTGGGGATTCGAACCCGTGTCTTCGGCGTGACGAGCCAACGCTTTAACCATTAGGCTACCCCACCGCCCCTCACCCAAATGAAAATATTACTCTCAGTATGAATCGCAACGAAACAACCCGTGAAGGTCCGGGTTAGAATGAACCTTCAGTAACCCATGCTTGTCGTAAGAGACGACTAACGGGGTGGTCAGGCTCGCAGACTTGGTTGACACATGTCATCGGTTCCCAATTGCGTAGATCGATGCTCATGCTGTTGATCACTGGATTGTCTGGTCCAGACTCGATTATTTATAGACCGCCGCCATATAGGTGGAATATTGCTGAGTGCGGCGTAAAACTAAACTCACTCACCCACGCAACGAAACCTATTTAGCATGTCAACTTCTCCCTTATAAGTAGAAAGTAATAACCTTGTTTTGGTGCAATAGCTTCAGACTTGCAGTTGGATGTGGCAGCCAAACAATTACCCCATATGATGAACGTATGTGTATATTCTGCCCTGCAAGGGCTATATTGAAGATGAAAGACATGTACTGCTAATATGCAAGTGAGACGGGAATGGTTTCCAAATTATTTGATTAATCCACCAACAGCTGAAGCATTTATGAGACTGATGCCGGGTGACGATATCCATAACAACAAATGTTTGAGGGTGAGCCATTGGTATAATAAAATGTATTTACTCTTATGAGTGAGTGAGTGAGTTCCATATAAGATTGTTTCTAATGAAAAGCGAAAGGCGACTATCTTGTCTAATGAAAAGCCATTGGTATAATAAAATGTATTTATCTTATGAGTGAGTGGTGAGTGAGTTCCATATAAGATTGTGTCTAATGAAAAGCCATTGGTATAATGAAATGCATTTACTCATGAGTGGTATGAGTGAGTTCCATATAAGATTGTCTAAGAAAATGTCATTGTTATAATAAAATGTGGTCCAGACTCGATTATACAGAGTGCCATAGTGGAATATTGCTGAGTGAGTGAGTTCCATATAAGATTGTGTCACTCTAATGAAAAGCCATTGGTATAATAAAATGTATTTACTCTTATGAGTGAGTGAGTGAGTGAGTGAGTTCCATATAAGATTGTTTCTAATGAAAAGCCATTGGTATAATAAAATGTATTTACTCTTATGAGTGAGTGAGTGAGTGAGTTCCATATAAGATTGTTTCTAATGAAAAGCCATTGGTATAATAAAATGTATTTACTCTTATGAGTGAGTCAATGTGAGTGAGTTCCATATAAGATTGTGTCTAATGAAAAGCCATTGGTATAATAAAATGTATTTACTCTTATGAGTGAGTGAGTGAGTTCCATATAAGATTGTTTCTAATGAAAAGCCATTGGTATAATAAAATGTATTTACTCTTATGAGTGAGTGAGTGAGTGAGTTCCATATAAGATTGTTTCTAATGAAAAGCCATTGGTATAATAAAATGTATTTACTCTTATGAGTGAGTGAGTGAGTGAGTTCCATATAAGATTGTTTCTAATGAAAAGCCATTGGTATAATAAAATGTATTTACTCTTATGAGTGAGTGAGTGAGTGAGTGAGTTCCATATAAGATTGTTTCTAATGAAAAGCCATTGGTATAATAAAATGTATTTACTCTTATGAGTGAGTCAATGAGTGAGTGAGTTCCATATAAGATTGTTTCTAATGAAAAGCCATTGGTATAATAAAATATATTTACTCTTATGAGTGAGTGAGTGAGTGAGTGAGTTCCATATAAGATTGTTTCTAATGAAAAGCCATTGGTATAATAAAATGTATTTACTCTTATGAGTGAGTGAGTGAGTTCCATATAAGATTGTTTCTAATGAAAAGCCATTGGTATAATAAAATGTATTTACTCTTATGAGTGAGTGAGTGAGTGAGTTCCATATAAGATTGTTTCTAATGAAAAGCCATTGGTATAATAAAACGTATACTTGAGTGAGTTGTGAGTGAGTGAGTTCCATATAAGATTGTTTCTAATGAAAAGCCATTGGTATAATAAAATGTATTTACTCTCTTATGAGTGAGTGAGTTCCATATAAGATTGTGTCTAATGAAAAGCCATTGGTATAATAAAATGTATTTACTCTTATGAGAAAGTGAGTGAGTGAGTGAGTGAGTTCCATATAAGATTGTTTCTAATGAAAAGCCATTGGTATAATAAAATATATTTAACAAACTCAAGCCGGGTTTCCATGTGCGCGCAGTGCGTGATGCGTAATGCGTAGCGCGTAATGCGTATACAACACTTTATACTAAAATAGTAATAGCGGTTTCCGTGCACGTGTAAAACGTGATGCGTGATACGTATTGCGTCGTGCGTGAACTTGCTTACGCTCAAAAAGTGTTCGAATACCCGGCTTAAGTTTGTCATCAACGAAACATGATTGGAAACGTGACGAGGTCATGTATTTTCAAATGGATTATGCTGCTCACGTGTTGATCAGTCTTGGCCTATTATGAAAATGACACATGTGTACTTTATAAGGCATGCTTCACACTGCTGTTGATTTCATAACAATAATCTAAATGTTTTCATCGATTGTAATATGCCAATATACCACACGGAAGTCTCCTCGAGATCAAAGGGGTGACAAACAAGATAACACATACTTTATTAAGTATATTTATTGTACATATTTCAATGAAATGTTAATTTTAAAAGACAATACACAATGTACATAATATCAAAGTGTATTGTTATATATTCCCTTGCAATTCATATATGTGTTTATATGGTTGATACCGATGACGTAATGCATGACGTGTACGCTTTAGGTGATGGTAAGACTTATGCTGCTGTTTGTCCTTTCCAAAATTTTGATTCATAATATATCGCATAGATTAGATTATCTTTTAGATTATAGCCACTAGGTGTTTGACATTGCATTCTGCATGTAGTGGCGGAGGTACAATAGCTTTGTATTACATGCATAATTCTATCTGCACATAATTCATTCATTGACAATATGATTCATATTTAGCTTGAATCTTCAGAGCACATGTTCAGTCAGTTACCCCTTATCATTCAACGTTCAGAAACATGTTTACATTCGGGCAATTATCGACGCCTACAGCGTAAAGATCTACCACACAATTTACGCTAATGCTACATGGCTGTAGTGCCAGATTTGCGCATTAACTGTGTTCATGTAGCGAAAATGATTCATGTTTGAATCAGATGGTAGTTCATTTCTGAATCATGGTTCCCATGGATGCCGTCAAGCGGCTGTTGTACTTGCAGCCTTTGTAGTAGGCTGGGCCGTGTTGATGTGCTCAAGGATCTCTGTTGTGTCCAAGGCTTCTCCAGGTTCCAGCACGCTCTTTGTAACGTCGTCTATGCAATAACACGTGCAGTGCGTGAACTCGCACCTGTTGCCTGTGCAGGAATGACTGCAGTATTGCTTTAGATCCGTGGCGTTATTGAATTCCCATTTCTCCCCTGGGTAAATTGCTGGTGGGCTAGGGTCCCCTGAAGAGGACTGGCACCATAGATTAATCCTTGTGGGGGGACAGTTGGGAATTAAAGGATTCTGAAAGAAGGAACCATAATTTGTGAAAGCATAATCTTGGAGATATTTTGAAAGCACAATCTTGATGATATTTTGAAAGCACAATCGTGATGATATTTTGAAATCACAATCATGAGTGAGTGATTTGGGTTTGACACCGCTTTCAGCAATATTCCAGCAATATCACGGCGGGGTCACCAGAAATGAGGCTTCACACATTGTATTCATGTGGAGAATAGAACCCGGCCTTCTGTGTGACGAGCGAACGCTTTAACAACTAGGCTACCCCGCCGCCTTCACAATCATGAAGGTATTTACTTTGGTATCGGCATATGTATCGGGTGTAACATGCGAACAATAAACAAGCGTGGTCCATATGGACACACCGCCTCCGTGGTGTAGTGGTTAGAGCGTCCGCCCGGAGAGCGGAAGGTCGCGGGTTCGATCCCCGACCGCGTCATACCAAAAGACGTTAAAATATGGTACTTGTTGGTCCCTGCCTGGCGCTCGGCATTAATAGGTACAAGAAGGACTGGTCGGCTCGGAGTCAGTATAATGTGTCTGATTTGGATATTCATGCTTCACTGCGGCATGGTATCTCAGTGGGCTAGCACTATAAAACCAGCTTAAGTCGAGGCTAGTACAAGCAGCCGCACATACACATACACACGCATGCACGTCATCATATGAGCGAAATATTCTCAAGCACGACGTTAAACCCAATTTCACCTCACCTCACCTCACCTCACCTCCATATAAACATGCAAAAAAGATTGTTGCATAATGTCTGATTTCTAACAGGTTGATCACTGGATTGTCACAGACCACCTCCATATAGCTGGAATATTGCTGAGTGCGTCGAAAAAATAGACTCACTCACTCACTCACTCACATGACCCCATCCGCTACAACAGTGTACTGGAACACACCCCGATGTTTCGAACGGTCAATCCGGTCCAATTACTGTAACTATAATTATTGAGCTCAGATGTATCGAATTGTTTCTGCCGAATTTCTCAGTCTATAGTCCTGAAAGCTTAAATAAGTTTAAACTGATCCTCATAAGTTTTTGTTGATATCATTTTATGTATATTTTTCATAATTTGTAGCTTTCATATAATCATGTGATGCAAAAACAACTGCCCCAAAATATAGATATACAAAAGGCACCATGTCACAGAGTCTAAATACTATTTACGCAACACCAGAATGGCGTATGTTTACCTTTCTATGGCTATTCCAGATATAATATGGTCGAGAAGGATGGGTCTGACGAAGGATAAGTCGTACTATTCTCTTTGTTCCCGGAGGTTCGTGACCATGGGTTTTGACTTTCACTTTTTCGAAGGCTGGTTTTTATGTATCAGTAAAACACTGTGTGACCCTGATTGGACATGTAAAGAATATAGGAACACGAGTGGGTAACATGAGTTTAGTTTTAGAGCTCTTCTAGCAATATTTCATCAATATCACGGGGTGGGACATGAGAAATGGGCTTCACAAATTGTTCTTATGTGGGAAATCGGCCTGTATGGGAACATGACCGAGTGCAGTGGATATCATGGATGATCCGAACTGATGTGGGGCAACACGACGTTGTTAAGTGAGAGTTTGAGTGAGTGAGTGAGTGTGGTTTCACGCCGATTGTACCACTATTCCAGCAACATCACGGTGGGGGACACCAGAAATGAACCTTGTTGGGATTCGAACCCGGGTCTTCGGCGTGACAAGCAAACGTTTAAACCACTGGTTCCGATTTTCCACAAGCCCACTTCTGGTATCCCCCTTTGGAATATTGCTAAGGTGGCCTAGAGCATTACTCACACACTGAAACTTTTATTCTAAAAACAGGGCAGGTTAGTAGGTCACGGCACTTCGCGAGACTTTAGTACTTCCGGTGACAAACAATGTTTCATACCTTCTCGAATGGTCTCATGGTTGCTAGTTGACAGTAAGGAACCGATAATCCTTGCACGAATAACACATTTCTGATCTAGCCATCCCAAAATTAGCCAACTATTACGAATGTCAAGAGATGTGACAGCCAAGCATGGTTCTACTCTTGGCCCGCTCTAGTAAAGTCCTATTTTGCGGTCTCGCAATTTTGAACCAGAATACGCTTGTCACCGGAAGTCTGGGACCGGAAGTAAGCTATGCCCCATCTCGCATATCGCTAGTTGGCGCGCGCAATGGGAGCCGGGAACTAGCTTAGTACCGGAAGAAGCGCCTCACGAGACCTACAGGCCTTATTCAAAGAAGTGACACTTACTACTGTGGTAGTGGTCGGTGCTTGGGTAGTTGTGAAGTACACCGGAACGTTCCTGCTGAGGACGTCAGCAAGAGGTGACTGGAGAAGTTGATTCGCCCGAGAGCCTCCAAGGGCGACAACCTGGTGATACAGACTGACCAGCTTGTTGATAGTGGCCGCCAGGAGGCTGTTCTGTGTTTGCTGGAGCCCATGCTGGGAATGGGCGTGGACGTTGTACCCATGTACAGGTTGACCGAACCTGTCGTACTGGACCGTTTGAGCTGGCCCTGAAGCTGAGGAAGAACAGAATGGTCAGTGAGTTTAGTTTTACGCCGCTTTAGCAATAGTAAAATGTGTGAATCTAATTGAAGATGAATATCATTGTCTTTGTGTTTGTCCAGCCTACCACAATTTAATAAATAAATATATTAAGAAATATTACTTTGAACATCACAATATTTATAAATTTATATCTATGTTAACCTACTCTAGCAAGGAACACCTGGAGAAGTTGTCAATGTTCCAATACCATGCGTTTTTACACAGGAGAAGTGTACTCTCTACTGCCTAATAACAATATAGTCAGTATACATGTACTATAGGCCTGTGGCCTCTTAAGTGCAAATAAAGACTATGGAATAGTCCAGCAATATCACGGCGGGAACACAAGAATGGACTTCACACATTGTACCCATGTGGAAATTGAAACCCCTGTCTTCGGGGTGATTAGCGAATTATTTAACCACCAGGCTAGCCCAACGCCCCAGAACATAATAGCAGCATCGTTGCGGAGCAGTTGAATGTATTGTCTGTGTAACGCTTACATACTACAGACCATTTACGGTATAATAAAGGTAACATTGTGTATTGCGAGAATTCTCATCTTTGACTATTCACAGGTAGTTTTTCCTGGGAAACTGAGTCAAGGTTTATTGAAACAAATTAAAAAAGTTACGAGAAACAAGTGTGCCTCTGGTTTTACAAAATATCTGTTCGCTTGAAATATTAGATGCCATGAAAAAGTTAAATCAAGTTAAGGCTAATATTTTCGAAAACATAGAATTTATTCCAGAAAATGCCTAAAGAAATAATTATGCTTCACACTTGAAAAGAAAGAAGAATAATGTTGAAAAGAAGAAACTGACAAATGGTTAAACTTTCAATTGACCGGTGACGATAAAGTAGGTTTTACTGCTGATAAACACTCGCATATAGTACTTACCACCCAGAGGGTTCACTGAAAGACCTTGTTGCGAATTGGGAGCCAGGTACTGGCCGATACTTGCAGAAGGGTTGGTTGGGTACTGACTAGTTGGATACTGGTGGTTGAACTGGAACTGGGTAGTACGTGATCCGGTCACTCCAGACTGAAAGGCTATTTGCGCAGGATTTGGATGGCTTGCTGATATCTGTTGGGTAGCTGCTCCAGTTTGGTGGACACTGTTCATATAGTTTCCTGTGCTGAACGGACCATACGTAGGTGCTACAGTGTGTTGGACAGTGTTGGACTGGCTTCCAATCATGGATGTGGTAGGAACATGTGCTCCAGTCTGTTGGGCAGTGTTGGTGTAGCTTCCAATCATTGACGGGTTTACCGCAATTGTCCCAAGAAGTTGGGCAGTGTTGGTCTGGCTTCCCATCATGGACGGGGCAACCGCAATTGTTCCAATCTGTTGGGCAGTGTTGGTCTGGCTTCCAGTCATGGATGTGCTAGGAACAGGTGCTCGAGTTTGTTGGGCAGTGTTGATGTAGCTCCCAGTATTGGACGGGGCAGACGTGGGTGCTCCAGTTTGTTGGGCAGTGTTGGTCTGGCCTCCAATCATGGATGTGCTAGGAACACGTACACCAGTTTGTTGGGCAGTGTTGGTGTAGCTTCCAGTGTTGGACGGGGCAGACGTGGGTGCTCCAGTTTGTTGGGCAGTGTTGGTCTGGCTTCCAATCGTTGACGGGGCAGACGCAGGTGCTCCAGTTTGTTGCACAGTGTTGGCGTAGCTTCCAGTGTTGGACGGGGCAGACGTGGGTGCTCCAGTTTGTTGGGCAGTGTTGGTGTAGCTTCCAGTATTGTGCTCCAGTTTGTTGGGCAGTGACGTGGGTGCTCCAGTTTGTTGGGCAGTGTTGGCGTAGCTTCCAGCGTTGGACGGGGCAGACGTGGGTGCTCCAGTTTGTTGGGCAGTGTTGGGTAGCTTCCAGTGTTGGACAGGGCAGACGCAGGTGCTCCAGCAGTGTTTGTACAGTGTTGGCGACGCTCCACGCAGGTGCTCCAGTTTGTTGGGCAGTGTTGGTCTAGCTTCCAGTGTTGGACGGGGCAGACGTGGGTGCTCCAGTTTGTTGGGCAGTGTTGATGTAGCTTCCAGTGTTGGACGGGGCAGACGTAAGGTGCTCCAGTTTGTTGCACAGTGTTGATGTAGCTTCCAGTGTTGGACGGGGCAGACGTGGGTGCTCCAGTTTGTTGGGCAGTGTTGGCGTAGCTTCCAGTGTTGGACGGGGCAGACGTGGGTGCTCCAGTTTGTTGGGCAGTGTTGGCGTAGCTTCCAGTGTTGGATGGGGCAGACGTAGGTACTTCAGTTTGTTGGGCAGTGTTGGTGTAGCTTCCAGTATTGGACGGGGCAGACGTAAGTGCTCCAGTTTGTTGCACAGTGTTGGTGTAGCTTCCAGTGTTGGACGGGGCAGATGTAGGTGCTCCAGTTTGCTGGTCAGTGTTGGTTTCAGGTTCGGCAGTCGGCCCCGTACTTCCAGATCCACCGACATTGGTTGAAGTGGCTTCTACAGAAGGTGTAGCTTTGGCACTTGTAGTAGAAGCAGTTTCAGGTTCGGCAGTTGGTCCCGTACTTCCAGATCCACTACCAATGGTTGCACTGGCTGCTACAGAAGGTGTAGCCTTGACACTTGTAGTAGAAGCAGTTTCAGGTTCGGCAGTTGGTCCCGTACTTCCAGATCCACTACCAATGTTTGCAGTGGCTGCTACAGAAGGTGTAGCTTTGGCACTTGTAGTAGAAGACGTTTCAGGTTCGGCAGTTGGAGCTGTGGTTCTGGTGGCACCAACTGTGTCTGTATTGTCCACTGTATTAGACACAGATTTGGGTGAGCCAATGCTGTTTGCAGTTCCCGATGACGTTCCAACGTTATTTCTTGAAGCAAGCAATTTCCCAGTATAGCTTATCAGTGTGTTAGTTCTTACCCCTGCGACTGAATTGGCAATAACATTAGATCCAACACCTGCTTCTGGATTAGGGGCAATGTCTCTGGTAGCAGTCACGCCAATATTCAAAACTGTGTTGGAACCAGATGTCGGTTGCTGGGAAGTAAAGGGGGTAGCATCAGCGTCCAGAACAATCTTCATTGTGTTGGCTGCTGGATACTCTACGTTAGTAGGAGTCCCTGCGTTAATGACAGACCCAGAGTTGATGGGAACAGTTGCGCGACTAGGTACTTGATACTGTCCAGAAACCGTTGACCCAATAGTTCCAGATACTGCGTTAGTACCTGCTGCCGCTAAGCTGGCACCATTTGTCGTTTGTGTGCTTCCACTTACTGCATCGACGTTGGCATTAGCATTATTTAATCTATCGAAAGTTGATAGTGTGTTTGATCCACTATTTGCAGCTGCGCCTCGTGTTGACTCAATGTAGAGAGAGTTAGCGCCTGAGCCAGTTGGAGTTCCAGCATCCACATTTGTTGCAGCTGGTGCTGTATCTGAAAGTGTGTTACTGACCGAGACAGTATTGGCGAGAGCTGTGGAGTCATTACTGCTTAAAGCAGTTGGTTTTGCAGAGGCAAAGTTGGTTGTGGCCACTTGTTGTGTGGCGTCATTACTGCTTAAAGCAGAGGCATAGGTGGTTGTGGCCGCTTGTTGGGTACCTGCATTGTTGGTTGTAGAAGCTTGTTGTGTGGCGTCATTACTGCCAGCGGAAGCTTGTTGTGTGGAAGCATAGTTGTTTGTTGATGGTTGTTGGGTACCAGCAACGTTCGTTGTTGAAGCTTGTGGGGTGACGTCATTACTACCAGCGGCATCTTGTTGTGCAGAAGCATAGTTGGTTGTTGGACCTTGTTGTGTACCAGCAACGTTCGTTGTTGAGGTTTGTTGTGTGGCAGCGACGTTTGTTGTAGAAGCTTGTTGTGTGGCGTCGTTACTGCCAGCGGCAGCTTGTTGGGTGGAAGCATAGTTGGTTGTTGAAGCTTGTTGTGTGCCAGCAACGTTTGTTGTAGAAGCTTGTTGTGTGGCGTCATTACTGCCAGCGGCAGCTTGTTGTGTGGAAGCATAGTTGGTTGTTGAAGCTTGTTGTGTGACGTCATTACTGCCAGCAGCAGCTTGTTGTGTGGAAACATAGTTGGTTGTTGAAGCTTGTTGTGTGACGTCATTACTGCCAGCAGCAGCTTGTTGTGTGGAAGCATAGTTGGTTGTTGAAGCTTGTTGTGTGCCAGCAACGTTTGTTGTTGAAGCTTGTTGTGTGGCACCATTACTGCCAGCAGCAGATTGTTGTGTGGAAGCATAGTTGGTTGTTGAAGCTTGTTGGGTGCCAGCAACGTTTGTTGTTGAAGCTTGTTGTGTGCCAGCAACGTTCGTTGTTGAAGCTTGTTGTGTGGCGTCATTACTGCCAGCGACAGCTTGTTGTGTGGAAGCATAGTTGGTTGTTGAAGCTTGTTGGGTGCCAGCAACGTTTGTTGTTAGCAACGTCATTGTTGCGGCAGAAGCTTGTTGGGTGCCAGCAACGTTCGTTGTAGAAGCTTGTTGTGTGGCGTCATTACTGCCAGCGACAGCTTGTTGTGTGGAAGCATAGTTGGTTGTTGAAGCTTGTTGGGTGCCAGCAACGTTTGTTGTTGAAGCTTGTTGTGTGCCAGCAACGTTCGTTGTTGAAGCTTGTTGTGTGGCATCATTGTGCCAGCAACGGTTGTTGTTGAAGCTTGTTGTGTGCCAGCAACGTTCGTTGTTGAAGCTTGTTGTGTGGCGTCTTTACTGGTAGCGACAGCTTGTTGTGTGGCGTCATTACTGCCAGCGACAGCTTGTTGTGTGGAAGCATAGTTGGTTGTTGAAGCTTGTTGGGTGCCAGCAACGTTTGCTGTTGAAGCTTGTTGTGCCAGCGACGTTCGTTGTAGAAGCTTGTTGTGTGACGTCATTACTGCCAGCAGCTTGTTGTGTGGAAGCATAGTTGGTTGTTGAAGCTTGTTGGGTGCCAGCAACGTTTGTTGTTGAAGCTTGTTGTGTGGCGTCATTACTGCCAGCGGCAGCTTGTTGTGTGGAAGCATAGTTGGTTGTTGGACCTTGTTGGTACCAGCAACGTTTATTGTTGAAGCTTGTTGGGTGCCAGCAACGTTCGTTGTTGAAGCTTGTTTGTGACGTGCCAGCGAACGTTTGTTGTTGCAAGCTTGTTGCTTGTTGTGGCGTCATTACTGCCAGCGGCAGCTTGTTGTGTGAAGAAGCATAGTTGACGTTTGTTGAAGCTTGTGTGGCGTCATTACTGCCAGCAGCTTGTTGTGTGGAAGCATAGTTGGTTGTTGAAGCTTGTTGTGTGCCAGCAACGTTCATTGTTGAAGCTTGTTGTGTACCAGCGACGTTCGTTGTAGAAGCTTGTTGTGTGGCATCATTACTGCCAGCGACAGCTTGTTGTGTGGAAGCAGTTGGCCAGTTGAAGCTTGTTGTGTGGAAGCATAGTTGGCTGTTGAAGCTTGTTGGGTTATAGTTGGCGCGTTTGTTGTAGCGAAGCTTGTTGTGTGGCGTCATTACTGCCAGCGACAGCTTGTTGTGTGGAAGCATAGTTGGTTGTTGAAGCTTGTTGGGTGCCAGCAACGTTTATTGTTGAAGCTTGTTGTGTGCCAGCAACGTTTGTTGTTGAAGCTTGTTGGGTGCCAGCGACGTTCGTTGTAGAAGCTTGTTGTGTGGCATCATTACTGCCAGCGACAGCTTGTTGTGTGGAAGCATAGTTGGCTGTTGAAGCTTGTTGGGTGCCAGCGACGTTTGTTGTAGAAGCTTGTTGTGTGGCGTCATTACTGCCAGCGACAGCTTGTTGTGTGGAAGCATAGTTGGCTGTTGAAGCTTGTTGTGTGCCAGCAACGTCCATTGTTGAAGCTTGTTGTGTGGCATCATTACTGCCAGCGACAGCTTGTTGTGTGGCATCATTACTGCCAGCGGCAGCTTGTTGTGTGGAAGCATAGTTGGCTGTTGAAGCTTGTTGGGTGCCAGCGACGTCCATTGTTGAAGCTTGTTGTGTACCAGCGACGTTCGTTGTAGAAGCTTGTTGTGTGACGTCATTACTGCCAGCGGCAGCTTGTTGTGTGGAAGCATAGTTGGTTGTTGAAGCTTGTTGGGTGCCAGCAACGTTTGTTGTTGAAGCTTGTTGTGTACCAGCGACGTTCGTTGTAGAAGCTTGTTGTGTGACGTCATTGTGCCAGCAACGTTCGTTGTTGAAGCTTGTTGTGTGCCAGCGACGTTCGTTGTAGAAGCTTGTTGTGTGCCAGCGTCGTCATTACTGCCAGCGGCAGTTTGTATTTGAAGCTTGTTGTGTGCCAGCAACGTTGTTGTTGTTGAAGCTTGTTGTGTGCCAGCAACGTTTGCTGTTGAAGCTTGTTGTGTGCCAGCAACGTTCGTACTTGAAGCTTGTTCTGTGCCAGCAACGTTCGTTGTTGAAGCTTGTTGTGTGCCAGCAACGTTCGTTGTTGAAGCTTGTTGTGTGGCGTCTTTACTGCTTGCTGCAGTTTGTTGTGTGGCGTCATTACTGCCAGCGACAGCTTGTTGTGTGGAAGCATAGTTGGTTGTTGAAGCTTGTTGTGTGCCAGCAACGTTCGTTGTTGAAGCTTGTTGTGTGCCAGCCACGTTCGTTGTTGAAGCTTGTTGTGTGCCAGCAACGTTGGTTATTGAAACTTGTGTGCCGTCATTACTGCCAGTGGCGGCTTGTTGCGTGGCATCGTAGTTCGGTGAGGCTCCTGGTTTAGCGACGTCACTGGCAGTGACAGACGGTTGTGTGGCAGTGTTTAATGCTTGTTCTGGCGCCACAGTGGACAATGAAGGATGGGCAGTTGACCCATCCTTTAGTACAGAAGCCGCACTTGAATAAAGTAAACTGGAAATGTGACTAGGTGATGCATAAACAACCTCAGGACCACCTTGAGATTGTGCATTCAAGGCAGGCTCTGAAGCAGATGTAGTTGCTGAGGCTGTATCAGACGAGAGAGGAGCATTTGTGTGACCAGAACCTCCTGCAGTTGGTCCAACCAATGCCGTGTGTGTTACAGCGACAGATCCCGAGTCCGCTTCAAAGGTAGGCGTTAGGGTGATCCTAGAAGTATCGGGAGCAGTACCTGTTGGTGGTTGGTTTGCATGTAAGACACTGTTGGATCCTGACGTGCGTAAGTCGGTATGCGATGCTGCTGTTTGGGTATTTTGCAAGCTTGACGTGCCCGCCATACCTGATGATGTTCCAAAATTCTGTTCATATTTTCCTTGCTTAACGTCCTTTAAGACAATTCCTGGGTGGATTACATTATCTACATTGGCACCAGAGACGTCTTTGAGATTGTTGTTTTTGTCGGTTTTGGATGGTTGGACGTATACGGATTGTTCAGAGTCAGTTAGGGATGTTTGCTTTGAGTTACTTTCAAATGGTGATGAAGACGGTGTTAAATCATTCTGTGATGACATTGATATAAGATCGCTCTGTGAGGCTGAACCACTCTGTGATGATGTCATACCACTCTGTGACGTTGAACCGCTCTGTGATGATGTCATACCACTCTGTGACGTTGAACCGCTCTGTGAGGTCAAGCCACTGTGTGATGCTGAACCGCTCTGTGATGTGATACCACTCTGTGATGCTGAACCACTCTGTGATGTCATACCACTCTGTGACATTGAACCGCTCTGTGATGTCATACCACTCTGTGACGTTGAACCGCTCTGTGAAGTCAAGTCACTGTGTGATGTTGAACCGCTCTGTGACGCCATACCACTCTGTGACGTTGAACCGCTCTGTGACGCCATGCCAGTCTGTGACGTTGAACCGCTCTGTGATGTCAAGCCACTGTGTGATGTTGAACTGCTCTGAGAGGCCGCTGAACCGCTCTGTGAGGAAGCAGTACCGCTTTGTGATGGTACCATGCCGCTCTGGGATGATGATGCATCACCCTGCGAGGACGTAGAACTACTCTGGGATGAGGCTGAACCACTTGCAGCTGATGTTGTACCACCGTTAACTGCTGACGTATCAGTTTTAGATGCATGTGCAGTTTGGTTAGAGGAAGATATTTGGCTTGCAGTTGAATGGATTGATGCTCGCTGGTTTGTTGATGAAGATGAAGATGTTGCCGACGACAATGGTGTCAGGTTATAAGCAGGGTCTTTGTTGACGTTGGGCATCATTGATAACCTGTCTGGTGTTGGTACAACGGGTATGTGAGACATTTCTGATGGTACAAGGTCAGATGGGTTTGCCATACTATTCAACTGGGCAAGTCCTTCTATCGATACTGTGTTAACAACCTTTGTGTTGGCAGCACTCTGTGGGTCTGGAACTGGGGCGTTGCTTATATCGTTGGAAAACACTGAAGCACCAGAGCTGTCGTGACGTCCTGCAATAATAGGCATGAACCCGAAAATGGAGTTCATGTCACTCCAAGGACCATTCAAGGGACCGTTGCTTCTGCTGGACCCAAAAGTTGTGGAGCCTGAACTGCTAATAGTGCCTGAACCAGCAGTACTGCCTGAAGTGCTTAAAGAACCTGCACCTGTGGGAGATCCTGAACCCGTTGTAGAGCTAGATCCACTTGGTGAGGCCGAACCGCTGGTAGAGCTGGATCCACTTGTTGAGGCTGAACCGATGGTAGAGCTGGATCCAGTTGTGGAGGCCGAACCGCTGGTAGAGCTGGATCCACTTGTTGAAGCTGAACCGCTGGTAGAGCTGGATCCAGTTGTGGAGGCTGAACCGCTGGTAGAGCTGGATCCACTTGTGGAGGCTGAGCCGCTGATAGAGCTGGATCCACTTGTTGAGGCTGAACCGCTGGCAGAGCTGGATCCAGTTGTGGAGGCTGAACCGCTGGTAGAGCTGGATCCAGTTGTGGAGGCCGAACCGATGGTAGAGCTGGATCCAGTTATGGAGTCTGAACCGCTGGTAGAGCTGGATCCAGTTTTGGAGGCTGAACCGCTGGTAAAGCCGGATCCAGTTGTGGAGGCTGAACCGCTGGTAGAGCTGGATCCAGTTGTGGAGGCTGAACCGCTGGTAGAGCTGGATCCAGTTGTGGAGGCTGAACCGCTGGTAGAGCTGGATCCAGTTGTGGAGGCTGAACCGCTGGTAGAGCTGGATCCAGTTGTGGAGGCTGAACCGATGGTAGAGCTGGATCCAGTTTTGGAGTCTGAACCGCTGGTAGAACTGGATCCAGTTATGGAAGCTGAACCGCTGGTAGAGCCGGATCCAGTTGTGGAGGCTGAACCGATGGTAGAGCTGGATCCAGTTGTTGAGGCTGAACCGCTGTTAGAGCTGAATCCAGTTGTGGAGGCTGAACCGCTGTTAGAGCTGGATCTAGTTATGGAAGCTGAACTGCTCGTAGAGCTGGATCCAGTTGCAGAGTCTGAACCGCTGTTACGGCTGGATCCAGTTGCAGCGACTAAACCGCTGTTAGCGCTGGATCCAGTTGTGGACGATGAACCGTTGGTAGAACTGGATCCGATAGTAGAGATGGATCCAACCATGGAATTTGATCCTGAGTTTGAGCCTGATCCAATGGTTGTGCTCGATCCAGTTGTGGAGCCTGATCCGCTGGTAGAGATTGATTCAGTCGATGCGTTTGAGGCAATTGTTGTGTCTGAACCGCTGATAGAGCTTGATCCAGTTTCGGGGCCTGATCCAGATGTGGCCCCTGAATTTCTGATAGAGCTTGAACCGCTGGCGGAGTTGAATTGGGCAGTGGAAACTGATCCTCTGACAGAGCCTGATACGCCAGTAGAACTTGAAGTGATAGATCCGGTTCCTGAGTTAGATCCACTTGATGTTCCTGAACTGCTAGTTGAGCCTGAACCGGCTGTAGAGCCAGAACTGTCAGAAGAGCTGGTTCCAGTTGCGGAATTGGTAGAGCCTGAGCTGCTACTAGAGCTTGAATTGTTGGAAGTTGAGCTTGATCCAGTAACAGAACCGATGGTAGAACTTGATGCAATCGTTGTGCCTGAACCTTTTGTGAGTTTTGATGTGGTTGTTGTGCTTGAACCACTGGTAGAGGCTGATACTGTGGTAGGGTATGACACGGTTGCAGAGCCTGATCCGCTAACAGCGCCAGAACCGCTTGATGCGGATGCTTTTTCACCTACAACAGACTTGTCCGAAGAGACTTCATTCTGGGATAGATGTGATGGCAAGGGAGCACGGGCTAATTGGACAGGGATTATTGCAGATGTTGAGAATACATTCCCAGTGTTTTGTGCGGTGCCTACAGTATCGGTCTGGATGTGAGAGTGGGTGTGGCTATGGGTATGTGTCTCTCCCACAGTACCACTAGAAGATGCGTGCCAGTCATTTGGACTCCAAACAACATGCTTCTGACCATTCAGATCAGTTACAACTGAGTCCCCACCTGTCTTGGTGTTTTCAGGTTTGTACAAGGATCCAACAACGATCGTATTGTCAGCATTGAAACCAGTGATGTCCTTAACAATACTTGTCTTGTCTGGAACAGAGTTTGTATTTGGAGGCACAGCGTAAACGTGGTTCGGGTCAGACGCTGAATCTATGGCACCGCCTGTGGATGTAGCGGAACCTGTGTGAGCAGTCGTTGAACTGGATTGATCTGTCGAAACTGCATGGTTCATCGTTGAGCCAAGTGTGCCTGTGTGTACTGAACCGGTTCCGGATTGGGGTGTGGAACTGGATTGATCTGTCGAAACTGCATGGTTCATCGTTGAGCCAAGTGTGCCTGTGTGTACTGAACCGGTTCCGGATTGGGGTGTGGAACTGGATTGATCTGTCGAAACTGCATGGTTCATCGTTGAGCCAAGTGTGCCTGTGTGAACTGAACCGGTTCCAGATTGTTGTACAGAGCTGGATTGATCTGTCGAAACTGCATGGTTCATCGTTGAGCCAAGTGTGCCTGTGTGTACTGAACCGGTTCCAGATTGTTGTACAGAGCTGGATTGATCTGTCGAAACTGCATGGTTCATCGTTGAGCCAAGTGTGCCTGTGTGTACTGAACCGGTTCCAGATTGTTGTACAGAGCTGGATTGATCTGTCGAAACTGCATGGTTCATCGTTGAGCCAAGTGTGCCTGTGTGTACTGAACCGGTTCCAGATTGTTGTACAGAGCTGGATTGATCTGTCGAAACTGCATGGTTCATCGTTGAGCCAAGTGTGCCTGTGTGTACTGAGCCGGTTCCAGATTGGTGTGTAGAACTTGATTGATCTGTCGAAACTGCATGGTTCATCGTTGAGCCAAGTGTGCCTGTGTCTACTGAACCGGTTCCAGATTGTTGTACAGAGCTGGATTGATCTGTCGGAACTGCATGGTTCATCGTTGAGCCAAGTGTGCCTGTGTGTACTGAACCGGTTCCAGATTGGTGTGTGGAACTGGATTGATCTGTCGAAACAGCATGGTTCATCGTTGAGCCAAGTGCGCCTGTGTTGACTGAACCGGTTCCGGATTGGTGTGTGGAACTGGATTGATCTGTCGAAACTGCATGGTTCATCGTTGAGCCAAGTGTGCCTGTGTGGACAAAACCGGATTGGTGTGTGGAACTGGCATGGCCAGTGGTTGATCCGATGGAACTTGTCTGGATTGAACCGGTTCCAGATTGTTCAGTGGAACTGGTATGATCTGTCGAAACTACGTGGCCTGTTGTGGAACCGATTGAGCCTGTCTGGATTGTCCCGGTTCCAGATTGTTCAGTGGAACTGGCAGGAAGAGTTGAGCCTGTTAGTATAGTGGTCGAACCGGAAGAGCCTGAGGTCACACCATTCGAAATGAGGCCAGTTTGCGTTGACCCGGAAGTGAACGTTGTACCAGTGACCTGGAAGCAATGAAAGAAACATTTTATAGCCGAGTGGATTTTAGAAAATCAATAAACTAAACAAAAGATGTTGATTACGTATTCGAGATAAAATATCTGATGCAAATAAAGCTAAATATTCTTGACAACATTAGCCATTTGTTTACTTTATTGTAAAATAGTAACCTTTATATTAGTTTTACAAATACATAACTTTAAGATATCTATATACTTATATACTGATATTGATTATCACAATTATTATTATTGGTGTTAGAAATTAGGTCCTGAGTTTGAACATGAACGGTGCATAACAACGCAATACACACGTAAGCAAACTATAAACATGGAACAGTCAAGCAATTTGATGACAAATATGAACACGTCCAAGTGAAAAAATGTCCAACTAAACGCATACTCTGCCACACTTACCAAATAGCAATATGAGAACTAAATATGCAGACATATACTACTCAAAATATGTTAAGAACAGCCTCAACTGAAAGACTGTGGGTTCTAAAACCCTTCAGCAATGATACACTGACTATGGTCATATGCTGACTGACTGAGTTTAGTTTTACGCCGCTTTTAGCAATATTCCAGCAATATCATGGCGGGGGACACCAGAAATGGGCTTCACACATTGTGCCCATGTGGGGAATCGAACCCGGGTCTTCGGCGTGACGAGCCAACGCTTTAACCACTAGGCTACCCCACCGCCCCACTATGGTCATATGAAAGTAAGAGTAAGAGTTTTAACATGTTGGGGGATAAGTCGAACACAACCATTGTTACAGAAATGTCAAACTTATGAATATCTCGAACTAAACGCTTGCTCCCGGTCTATTCCTCATTAATCATCATTTCACGGTTGTGTCTCGGATAACTCGAATTGTTCAACTTCGACACAACGGTTTTTGACTGTATACAACACGCAACATATTACTGCAGTACAGAATAGACATGTGTTACATTGATACAGTACAGAATAGCCCTAAGTGACATTGATACAATACAAAATAGCCCTAAGTGACATTGGTACAGTACAGAATAGCCCTATGTGACATTGATACAGTACAGAATAGCCCTATTTGTGAGTGATACGTGTAGGCATACATAACATTTAACAAACTAAAATACAAACATACTACATGAGAGACAAATATACCATAAGCTTCTGCACAGTGACATATGACAATGGACACGTGATCCATGCAAAAATACATACATATACTGACAGAAACAAATAAAGGAACACAATAAAATTAAAGTGTTCCTTTAATATTTTCCCGTTTTCATCACCAGCTTTGAATAGCGCTGTGGGAGGAAATATGAGAATAAATATAGGAACACTGCCATGAAGTGGTGTTCCTTTAATTGTTTCCTTCAGTATATACAACACTCGAATTTAAACTGTACGACAATACAAGCTTTTAAATATCGATACATAACAAACATGAATTTCATAGTGTCAGAAACATACATAATTTTAGCACTGTGGTAACGATGCTATACTAGAACATAGGACGATGTCACAAATGTAGAACCCGTGAAGATCCTGGTTAGAAATGATCTTCAGTAGCCCATGCTTGTCGCAAGAGGCGACTAACGGGATCGGGTGGTCAGGCTCGCTGACTTGGTTGACACATGTCACCGGTTCCCAATTGCGTAGATCGATGTTCATGCTGTTGATCACTGGATTGTCTGATCCAGACTCGATTATTTACAGACCGACGGCATATAGCTGGAGTATTGCTGATTGCGGCGTAAAACTAAACTCACTCACACACTGAAGTGTAGGTTATACACAAAGACACAGGTATAACACTTGGCAATAAGCATGGTCAACATCATATAACATGATGTTTCACACTGACAGAAATCTGTCATTCAACAGCATAAGGTGACATCTGAAACGTACATCAAACTAAAACATACACAAACACATTTATAACACTTAACAATAAGCACAGTAACCATCATATCAACATGATGCTTAACACTGACAGATATCAGTCATTCAACAGCATAAGGTGACATGAAACGTGCATCAAACTAAAGCATACAAAGACACACCTATAACACCTGACAATAAGCAATGTCAAAGAACATCACCTTGTCGTTTCCAGTGACAGTTAACTTGTCTAAATAACAGAATGAAGACAAATACGAACAGGCGCAAGCCACTTGTTAACCATCTGTTTACCAAGCTGACAAACAGACATGAAGTCGTTCTCGAGGACGTCTATACCATTGTTTGACGCTAGAATGACCGTCGGCGCTTACAGAAGCAGTACTCGAAACGGTGTTAGCTGTCTTCCAAACATTCCAAGCATACTACATTTTAGGTGAGACCACATGGACATAAAGCAAGCGCTCGTGAAGCAACAGCTGTCAGATCAAAAACAAACGACGTACAGCTCCAGGTGTCAGTGTTGTGGCAACGTTGGCTTCAGTTGTCGCTGTGGACGCTGGTGGTGTGGGAAGCTCTGTGGTAGCCCCCTCTACCATGGTACTGGAGCTGAGACTATTTGAAGATTTGTTCATAGTGGACGTTGTTTTGGTGCTGGTTGTAATGCTGGAAGTACTTGAAGTTTGAGATGAGTTTGTTGATCGTGACGTCGTGTCTATATTGGATGATTTCTCTGGTACCTCGGTGGCAGCAGCTGTAGGAAGCTGCGTTGAGATTCCTATAGTACCTGACGGGCTCGCTGAAGTTTGGTATTGGCCATGAGGTGAAGTTGTTGCACCTGTTATTTCAGCTGGTGCAGAAGGTGCGGTTGTGGTTTGGTCATGGGCAGTAGTGGTTTTGTCTGACAGTGAAGATGTCTCAGAAGGAATGGTTGTACTTGACTTTTCATTTTGAGTAGCAGTCGGTGTGCCTGGTGCTGAAGATGTCGTTGTTCCTGATGCCTCAGAAGGGTGGAAATCGAGAGCTGTCGTGGTTGTGCTTGATATTTCACCTTGGGTAGCATTGGTTATAACTGGTGGTGATGATGTCGTTTGTGCTGATGTCACAGAAGAAACGGGTTGGGAAGCTGCAACGGTTGTGCTTGACGTTTCGCCTTGTGTAGCATTGGGTGTGCTTGACGTTTCGCCTTGGGTCGCAACGGTTGTGCTTGAAGATACGCCTTTAGTAGCAACGGTTGTGCTTGGCGATTCGCCTAGGGCTGCAACGGTTGTGCTTGACGTTTCGCCTTGTGTAACATTGGTTGTGCTTGACGTTTCGCCTTGGGTAGCAACGGTTGTGCTTGAAGATACGCCTTTAGCAGCAACGGTTGCGCTTGGCGATTCGCCTAGGGCTGCAACGGTTGTGCTTAACGTTTCGCCTTGTGTAGCATTGGTTGTGCTTGACGTTTCGCTTTGGGTAGCAACGGTTGTGCTTGACGTTTCTCCTTCTGTAGCAACGGTTGTGCTTGACGTTTCGCCTTGGGTCGCAACGGTTGTGCTTGAAGATACGCCTTTAGTAGCAACGGTTGTGCTTGGCGATTCACCTTGAGCTGCAACGGTTGTGCTTGACGTTTCTCCTTCTGTAGCAACGGTTGTGCTTGGCGATTCGCCTAGGGTTGCAACGGTTGTGCTTGACGTTTCTCCTTCTGTAGCAACGGTTGTGCTTGACGATTCCCCTTCTGTAGCAACGGTTGTGCTTGACGATTCGCATAGAGCAGCATCGGTTGTGTTTGACGATTTGTCTTGCGCTGCAACGGTTTCAGTTTCGTTAGTCTTTTTTGAGTGTCCACTGGTACCTGACTCGGCCGATGAAGCGTTATATTCGTCTAGTTTCAAAACAGCAAGGACTAGCTCGTATGGACAGGTTTCAACACTACCTGACAAAACTGCCCGAGCTCTTTCTAACGTCATGTTTTCAAACTTATTTGCTGTATTAGCATTGGACACCCTGGCCATCGTAGTTGAGGAGGCGGGCTGATTAGGGATATGGACCTGGGAGGCCGGAGTGGCTGTGGTTTGGGTGGCAGGTGCGGTACCTGTTGTTTCACCTCCAGATAGAGTTGTCAGTGGTTCTGCGCTTTTACTTGCATGTGGCACTGTTGTTTGCTTTTGTTCGAGAGAGGTTACCTCCTGATACGCAGTGGGCTCCAGTGTGGTTTCACCTTTAGGTGCGTTTGGTGTTGTTTTGGCTTCAAGCACATTGGATCCTTCTGTTGTTTTGCCATTAGGTGTTGATGACGCTTCTGTTTCGATTTCAGGTGCATGGGGTGTGACAGTTATTTCTTCGTGGTTTGCAGGTACTGTTGATGGTGTTTGACCTTGAGTGGTTTCTTTTTCAGGGGCACTGGAATCTACTGTTGTTACGTTCTGAGATGCAACGGTAGTTCCTGATGTTGTGTCTTGCACTGTGGCAGTTGCTCCTGAAGTTTCGCCCTGAGGTGCATCACTTGTTCTTTCTGTTTGGCCTTGTGTTGCATCAGTTGTTCCTGCTGTTTGGCCTTGAGCTGTATCAGGTGTTCCTGCTGTTTGGCCTTGTGTTGCATCAGTTGTTCCTGCTGTTTGGCCTTGAGCTGTATCACTTGTTCCTGCTGTTTGGCCTTGTGTTGCATCAGTTGTTCCTGCTGTTTGGCCTTGTGTTGCAGACGTTGCTCCTGCTGTTTGGCCTTGAGCTGTATCAGGTGTTCCTGCTGTTTGGCCTTGAGCGGCATCAGGTGTTCCTGCTGTTTGGCCTTGTGTTGCATCAGTTGCTCCTGGTGTTCCTAGAATTATGATGTCTGTGGAACTATTCACTGGGACTGGAGCCTGTGCTAACTCCAGATCTGTCAAGTTGTATTGTCCTTCTGACACCGCTTTAAGACTGTTCTGATTAGCCCCAACAGTGTTTTCATAACTAAACAAGCCACTAATCAACTGCTTTATACTGTCTTTCAATGACCCCGTTTGGCTTGTGTAAAGGTGATTAGATGTTGAATCAGATGACGTTTTGTGATGGAGAGTGTTTTTAGCCATTTCCCATGATGCCTGGTCCTTTAGAAAGGCAACTGTCTGAGTCGTTTGTCCCTGTGCTCCTTCAGTCGCTGCAGGTGCGACTGTCATTTCATTTTGAAATGGTTTAAGTGTCGATGGTCCCTGAGTAAGGTTTGCCTCTGGTACTGTAACATTAACTGTATTTACAGCTTCTGGCATTAAATCATTTATTTGCTGATTTGTCAGGTACCTTGTGGTATCAGTGACGATGGTCGTCCTTCCTCCAGTACTCGATACGGTTGTTGATGCCTCGTCAGCAGTTTGATTCCCTGGGTCACCCGCGACAGCCAGCGTTTCACTTTTAGAGGCATTCCGAGACGTCACTGTTGAAGATGAAGAAGACGTCGATGTTGTTGATGAAGATGCTAAAGAAGCAGCAGTCTCATTTGAAGAAAGTGGGCTTGCGGGAGTAGTTGCATCAAGATTCTGGGAAACGTCTGATCCAGGATGTGCCGTCGACGTCGTGCCAACGTCGTGACTTAACGTCATATGCCCACTGCTGTCCACCGTTGTTGATGCTGTTGAACGCGTCTCTTGTATTGTAGATGATTTTAAAGGATCATCTTGGCACGGTTTCAATCCAGCTTCCAGCAACAAGCGTGCCAACTGAGGTGATAGTTTGGGAAAACTTGGAAACCGACCTGCAGCTTGATTTAGGTCCTACAGTTGTAAAACAGCATAAATTACAACTTCTATACGGTATTAAAGAAGAATGAATTGATGGTTTCTTTTTTTTTACATCTTACATTTTGACGTTCCTGTACAGGGGCAAGTACGTTTAACGTGCAAACGTCTCTTTAAATGAAGACAATGATTGAAATCAACGCCAATTCTGTCCCCATTCATTCTATAAATTCTTAAGAACCACTTAACTGACTGACTGACTGAGTTTGGTTTTACGCCGCTTTTAGCAATATTCCAGCAACATCACGGCGAGGGACACCAGAAATGGGCTTCTCACATTGTGCCCATGTGGGGATTCGAACCCGGGTCTTCGGCGTGACGAGCCAACGCTTTAACCATTAGGCTACCCCACCGCCCCTAAAGAACCACTTAAAGATAATACACAAAGTATTTCATCTGAAATAAAATCACTCGTGTACACATTCACTAAACTTTAACATTCCAGATATAGCACACATTCGATAAGGTTAAACACGATAATATCACTAAATGTCTGATTGATTTGCAATTTAACAATTTCAGCATTACAATTAATACAATGTATGAAAAGTGGTCTCAAAATATGGAAAACTACAATCATTTTGTCAGTCTTCCCAAACCTGAAATAGGAAAGTATTAGATCGTGATTTACAGTTGCAAACAAAAGGAATACAATGATTAAAGAATGCGGCTTCGTTGATAATGACAATGTTAAAGTTATTTTGACATAACAAGCTCAGGAAGGAACTAAAAATCAATTTATCGATGCATTAATATTTTAAGAATTTCTTTTAAGTTTATAGTTTTAAGCCACCATTATTTAATAAATTGTGATATATCTTCAAAATGCCAGGTATATCATGCATTGTAGTGTTAGTTAATTGCTCGAAGCGAAAATCATGAAATAATTTGTGGGGTAAAAATAATACTGTGAATGCATAATAATACTACAATGGGATATCATTAGCGTGAACTTAATGATACGTTTATAGTTTGACACTAAGCCTCTAGGTTAATATAGGGCTATAGTATGAGTATTTAGTTCAAAGCTAAGCTTTGATAATACAGTGTGGTAAGTTAGGTTTATAGTTCATAGGCGTTCATAATATCATGTAAGAATACAAGTACAATTAGTTCATTTAAAAGCTTAGATTCTAATCTCAGATAATACATTGTGGTGACTTAAGTTTATAGGTTAAGAAGCTTAGCGTTCATGATACAGTTTGGCAATGGAATATCAATTTTCAAAGCTGAGGGTTCATAATACAATGTATAACAAAGTTTATAGTTCAAAGCTAAGCTTCTGTACTTCAATGCAAGAAGCTGATTGTTTAAAGCTAAACATCAATAACACTTTTCGAAATAAATGTGTATAGTTTGAAGTTAAGCTGTGCTTATGTTATTTCGCGTTAAAACTTTGTGTAATTATACGTTGTAATACAATTGTTTAAAGATGTAAGTGTACAATGGCATATCGTGGGCAAGACTTAAAGCTCATGTAACCATCTATATTGCAGTTTATTAGGATGGTATACAATAACATTATCCTTAATACAGTGACTCAGAATCTATATACTTCATAAAGTCATCCTGCATATGTGGGGCGGTGGGCTAGCCTAGTGGTTAAAGCGTTAGCTCGTCACGCCGAAGACCCGGGTTCGATTCCCCACATGGGTACAATGTGTGGAGTCTATTTCTGGTGTCCCTCGCATTGACATTGCTGGAATATTGCTGAGGGCGGCGTAAAACTAAACTCGCTCACTCACTCACTCACTCCTGCATATGTTGGTAGTTAAGATGCCGACCACTTTGATGTTCTGGATGTGGGGTGATGGAAGAAAACAGCATACCAAGTTATTTTATTTTTGCTAAGTTTAAACACATTTGCTTCACATGTACAGGCATGAACAAATGGCATTATTTATATCGCCCCTCTCAAATAATTTACAAGTATGTTTATCTAGAGTGTATATATGCGGAGATTAAGAAAAAACTATAGACATTAAAATTGTCTACTCAAACCATAACTGGTGTCATTTCAGTATTATTATAACAATAACAGTTTGAATACGCAATAGATCATTTCGTTTTTAGATAAAAAAAAAATGGGAATTCAATGAAAATATAACATTGTTTGGATTGTTTGTAAACTTTACAAGGAGATAATTGGGATAATCTCTTCTTACCCTAACACAAGGCGGGGTAAAAGCAATACAATATAATATAATACAAATTGTTACTACATATTAGCCAGGGATAAAAGCAAAACAACGTGATTCAATATGGCACATAAGGAGGGAATATAGCAACACATTGTAATTTGATACAAATTGTTACTACATATTAGCCAGGGATAAAAGCAAAACAACGTGATTCAATATGGCACATAAGGAGGGAATATAGCAACACATTGTAATTTGATACAAATTGTTACTACATATTAGCCAGGGATAAAAGCAATGCAATGTAATTCAATATGGCACATAAGGAGGGAATATAGCAACACATTGTAATTTGATACAAATTGTTACAGCAACGTAGGCAGGAATAAAAGCAATACAATATAATATAATACAATTTGTTACGACATATTCAGCAGGGATAAAATCAGTACAACATAAAATACTACAAATTGTTACGACAGATAAGGCAGGGATAAAAGCAATACAGTGTAATTCAATACTAATTGTTACGACACATTAGGCAGGGATAGAAGCGCAGTGGGTTTATACCCACACACCCATAACCAGTAACACGGAGCCGCCATCTTGATGTCCTTCACCAGGGTTCAAAGCGTGTCGTCTACATTTCAAGATCTACCATGACATCCCTGAAAGCAACCACATCACAGTTATCGTTATATGTCCTCTGATCGAATAATATTTCATGTCAATGCTGGAAATATCCCATATACTATTAGTTACGCGGCGTCTTGAAAGGGTGTACGGGACTGTTAGACCCTTGTAAATTCCGTATTTCCTGAGGTTGCGCCTTGGGACCCTTGGAATTTACAGGGGTCTTACAAGGGCGCAGCCTCAGGAAATACGGAATTTACAAGGGTCTTACAAGGGCGCAGCCTCAGGAAATACGGAATTTACAAGGGTCTTCCAAGGGCGCAGCCTCAGGAAATACGGAATTTACAAGGGTCTTCCAAGGGCGCAGCCTCAGGAAATACGGAATTTACAAGGGTCTTACAAGGGCGCAGCCTCAGGAAATACGGAATTTACAAGGGTCTTCCAAGGGCGTAGCCTCAGGAAATACGGAATTTACAAGGGTCTTACAAGGGCGCAGCCTCAGGAAATACGAAATTTACAAGGGTCTTAATGTCCCGTACACCCTTTCAAAACTACGTGTGACGAATCTATTACCCTTAAGATTTTATTTAGCTAATCTTTAAACAACAACATTCAATCATCGGCAGAATGAGACGCAAAACGTTTCGCCCTTTTTTCCTGAACGGTCATAATGGGACATAACTCGGGATGGCTTAGTTTATGATATCGATTTTGAGGTTTTGTTAAACGACAAGTGAAATACAGAAACATTTATTTTTTCAGATATATTTATTGACGCAAACAAATAAGAAATTATGGCAACAATTTTATTACTCTGTTTATATCATAATTGTATATACGCCAACTCTAACATTTCGAAGCGATCAGCCGTTTGGCAGCCACATTCCTAAGGTCAAGGTCATTCGTACAACCTGTGTTCGTACACCCTGGCAAATCCGCCTACATGGTTTGGTATGCTTTGGCTATTGACCAATCAGAATTCGACAAATTTATCTTAATGGTAATAAATGATATTCTGTAAATGATTAATTAGTTTAAAGCAAAATAAAAAGCGTTCCAATGACGTTACAACGCACAGCATTTTTAAGCCTTTTAGCTTCCGAAATTTATTGCATGTGCAGTGGACGTTTTACGGTTTTAATACCACTCAGAGATCTCCCTAAGTTAGTCGGCAGCATTATAATCACTATATTCCTTTGTAAATCAAAGTATTCATCTCTGGGACGTTTGACCTCCAAAGCAACATCAGCATCTCTAATGAATAGACGGATATACTCAGTACTGGTACAGTGCTGATCACCCTACAAATATTATCAAGGCCAGCAGGGACTGGAACCAACGATCACAGGTTTCTAGCACCTAGGGGAGGCAACTCTAGCAAGTTAGCAAATGGCGACGAATAAGGCGACTGTGCCACCTGTAGAATGTCCCCTCCGAGTTATATAAAAACATTATGCACTCTTAAAAGAGTAGGGGAACTTACGATTGAAATGATTGGGAGATATATCGGAGTCAATCAATGTTGATGATAATGATGAATATTTTGTGAGCGCATCAGTATTTGCACTGCCTTATGACCATAGCGTTTTGTACAAAAGTCGTTCTTGGTTGATGTATGACGTGAAATTTGCATGTGTTCGATTTTCATTTTCAAACCAAAAAACGACTAGAAGCAAGCACTAACAACTGTGTGATGCAAGATTATTGTCAAAATGAATAGTCTACAGTTATTTATCGACCTTCTTGAAAACCGTCAAAATCAAGAATTACACCCCATGCACGTGCATCCCATGCGTTGTGTTTAGGGGTGGTGACAAAGAGAAATGGTGGTGCGTTCATAAGATGTCAGTCTTTTAAAAGTTTGTTTACGCTTATACTTCCTATCCAAATTGAAAGTTCAGGTTCCCCTACTTTTTTGGAAGAGTATAGTTTCCTATATCGCTCAAGAATATCAGTCATTACAATTTACGAACATGTGTATGGTATATACTTCCAATAATAAGTTAGGAATTACCTGATTTTTTAATATAACTCCAGTTTTGTCATGTTACAACATATATATTGAAGTTATGTGGAGAATAGATGGTCCATCTAATTTGTTAGTAGTATATATAATAAAATCACAGAAAACGTTTAATCCAATGCAGCCTACCTAAATTCAATAAGTTATACTTACAGTCTGTGATGTCTGTGATGTTGAGGAGGCAGCGCTGCTGTTGGGTTCATTGGGTAGAGGTGCAGAGGCAGCGGTAGTAGGAACAGTCTTTGGAGCACCAGTTGGTTCAGCTGTATGGGCGTCAGTTGGTTCGGCCGTATGGGCGTCAGTTGGTTCAGCCGTATGGGCGTCAGTTGGTTCAGCCGTATGGGCGTCAGTTGGTTCAGCCGTATGGGCGTCAGTTGGTTCAGCCGTTTGGGCGACAGTTGGTTGAGCCGTATGGGCGACCGTGGGTTCAGCTGTATGGGCGTCAGTAGGTTCGGCCGTATGGGCGTCAGTTGGTTCAGCCGTATGGGCATCAGTTGGTTCAGCCGTTTGGGCGACAGTTGGTTGAGCCGTATGGGCGACCGTTGGTTTAGCTGTATGGGCGTCAGTAGGTTCGGCCGTATGGGCGTCAGTTGGTTCAGCCGTATGGGCGTCAGTAGGTTCAGCCGTTTGGGCGACAGTTGGTTTAGCGGTATGGGCACCAGTAGGTTCGGCCGTATGGGCGTCAGTTGGCTGAGCCGTATGGGCGTCAGTAGGTTCGGCCGTTTGGGCGCCAGTTGGTTCAGCAGTAGAAGCGTCAATTGGTTGAGCCGTAGAAGCTTCAGTTGGGTGAGCCGTTGAAGCGCCAGTTGGTTGAACGGTAGGGGCGTCAGTTGGATCAGCCGTAGAAGCTCCAGTTGGTTGAACGGTAGGGGCGCCAGTTGGTTCAGCCGTAGGAGCGCCAGTTGGTTGAACGGTAGGGGCGACAGTTGGTTGAGCCGTAGAAGCGTCAGTTGGTTCAGCAGTAGAAGTGCCAGCTGGTTCAGCTATAGAAGCACCAGTTGGTTCAGCCGTAGAAGCGTCAGTTGGCCCAGTCGTAGGAGAGTCAGTTGGTTCAGCCGTAGAAGCGCCAGCTGGTTGAACGGTAGGGGCGCCAGCTGGTTCAGCTGTAGAAGCACCAGTTGATTGAGCCGTAGAAGCGTCAGTTGGCCCAGCCGTAGGAGAGTCAGCTGGTTCAGCTGTAGAAGCACCAGTTGGTTGAACGGTAGGAGTGTCAGTTGGTTCAGCCGTAGAAGCGTCAGTTGGTTCAGGCGTAGAAGCGTCAGTTGGTCCAGCCATAGAAGCGTCAGTTGGTCCAGCCGTAGAAGTGCCAGCTGGTTCAGCCGTAGAAGCGTCAGTTGGTTCAGCCGTAGAAGCGTCAGTTGGTCCAGCCGTAGGAGAGTCAGTTGGTTCAGCCGTAGAAGCGCCAGTTGGTTGAACGGTAGGGGCGCCAGCTGGTTCAGCTGTAGAAGCACCAGTTGGTTCAGCCGTAGAAGCGTCAGTTGGTTTAGCCGTAGAAGCGCCAGTTGGTTGAACGGTAGGGGCGCCAGTTGGTTCAGCTATAGAAGCACCAGTTGGTTCAGCCGTAGAAGCGTCAGTTGGCCCAGCCGTAGGAGAGTCAGTTGGTTCAGCCGTAGAAGCGCCAGTTGGTTGAACGGTAGGGGCGCCAGCTGGTTCAGCTGTAGAAGCACCAGTTACTTCAGCATGTGCTGTGGTCGTACCTGATGCTTGTGCTGTCCCGGCTGTGTCTGTACCGACAGCTTGGACTGTGGAGGTCCCCTCTACTTCATTTGTGGTGGAACCAGAAGCGTGGGCGGTGGTGGTGGTTCCAGACGCCTGTGTCGTTCCTGCTGTACCACTAACCTCCATTTCATTAATAGAGGAACCAGAGACTTGGGCTGTGGATAGAGCAGGAGCCGGGGCCGTTCCTGTTGGGCCTGAACCGGCTTCTTGGACTGTGGACATACCCTCTGTTTCTGTTGTGGTCCCAACAGACGTCTGTTCTGTAGCGGTTTCTTTGATTGTGTTGGTGCCTTCCACTTCTGTTGTAGTTGGACCGGAAGTCTGGGCTAACGTTCCTGCTGCGCCTTGTGCTGTGCTAGTGCCCTCCGCTTCTATTGTTGCAGCCCCAGAAGCCTGTGATGTTGTGGAGCCTGATGTTTGTGTCGTTCCTGTTGAGCCTGTGCCTGCTGCATGGACTGTGCTAGTGCCCTCCGCTTCTACTGTTGCAGCACCAGAAGCGTGTGCTGTTCCTGCAGCACTAACTCCGGCTGTTTGAACAGCAGTACCATCCAGGTCTGCTGCCGTGGCACCAGACGTCTGTTCTGTTCCTGTTGAGGTTCTACCGGCTACTTGGACAGTGGTAGTACCTTCAATTTCTGTTGAGGCAACACCCGATGCTTGTCCAGTAGTGGTCTGACGTCCTGAAGCCTGTGATATCCCAGATGCCACTGCAGCCCCCTTCACCTATAGAATTTGTCGTTTCAGAAGGACCTTCTGTTGTTTCTCCTGCTGTAGCTGTAGCTGCTGTTTGTGTTCCACTTGCAGCTACAGTCGATGGCAAAGGGTGGGAGGAAGCTGCATGCTGGACTGACGAGGCTGAGGCTGACTGTGGAACAGGAGCTTGTGGAAGGTTAGCGCTATGTAACTGTGAGTGTATGTTGGACTCACTCACGGTATGTTGACTCGAAGTCATCTGTCCGGATGCGTCTGATGTGTGAGTTGAAGTAGCCTTGGTGTGACCAAACATCTCAGGACAGGGTTGAAGGCCGGCTGCCAACAACAATCGAGCTAGCTCTGGTGTTAGTTTGGATACATGCGGAACATCTGCACTCAGGGGTTTATCAGCGTCATGGTTCAGGCCGTCTGTCCCAGCACTTGCAAGACTTGTCACTGACTGGTCAGATGTCACAGTCTTTTGAGTTTTTAGCTGAGCCCCTGCAATATCGGAGGGTTTGTCGATCATGTTAGATTCAGGAGCATTAACTGCGCTTTGGCCTACTGTTGATGCAGCAGTGGTTTCTGCAGCTGCTGTTGGTGCAGCTGTTGTGTCGGCTGCTGCTGACGGTGCTGTTGTTGTGTCAGTTGATGATGATGATGATGATGCTGTTGCTGTTGTATCTGCAACTCCTGACGGTACAGCTGTAGCGTCTCTTACTGGGTCAGGAAGTGGAGCCGAATTTACCCGTGGTAACGACGTTTCAACTGACGAGGCAACTTCTGTTGGTGCAGCTGTTGTATCGGCAGCTTCTGTTGGGGCAGCTGTTGTGTCGGCAGCTGCTGTTGGTGCAGCTGTTGTATCGGCATCAATTGTTGGTGCAGCTGTTGTGTCGGCGGCTTCTGTTGTTGGTGCAGCTGTTGTGTCGGCGGCGGCTGGTGTTGGTGCAGCTGTTGTATCGGCAGCTTCTGTTGGTGCAGCTGTTGTGTCGGCTGCTGCTGACGGTGCTGCTGTTGTGTCAGCTGATGATGATGGTGCTGCTGTTGTATCTGCAACTCCTGACGGTACAGCTGTAGCGTCTCTTACTGGGTCAGGAAGTGGAGCCGAATTTACCCGTGGTAACGACGTTTCAACTGACGATGCAACTTCTGTTGGTGCAGCTGTTGTGTCGCCAGCTGCTGTTGGTGCAGCTGTTGCATCGGCAGCAATTGTTCGTGCAGCTGTTGTGTCGGCGGCTTCTGTTGTTGGTGCAGCTGTTGTGTCGGCGGCTGGTGGTGGTGCAGCTGTTGTATCGGCAGCTTCTGTTGGTGCAGCTGTTGTATCGGCAGCCGCCATTGGTGCAGCTGTTGTGTCGGCTGCTGCTGACGGTGCAGCTGTTGTGTCAGCTGATGATGATGGTGCTGCTGTTGTATCTGCAACTCCTGACGGTACAGCTGTAGCGTCTCCTTACTGGGTCAGGAAGTGGAGCCGAATTTACCCGTGGTAACGACGTTTCAACTGACGAGGCAACTTCTGTTGGTGCAGCTGTTGTATCGGCAGCTGCTGTTGGTGCAGCTGTTGTATCGGCAGCAATTGTTGGTGCAGCTGTTGTGTCGGCGGCAAGTGTTGGTGCAGCCGTTGTTTCGGCGGCTACTGTTGTTGGTGCAATTGTTGTTGGTGCAGCTGTTGTGTCGGCGGCAAGTGTTGGTGCAGCTGTTGTTTCGGCGGCTACTGTTGTTGATGTGCAGCTGTTGTATCGACAGCTGCTGTCGGTTTTGCTGCTGCTGTTGGTGCAGCTGTTGTATCGGCTGTTGATGATGCAGCTGTTGTAAGTGCTTGGTGCAGCTGTTGTTGTCGGCGGCTGCTGGTGGTGCAGCTGTTGTGTCGGCGGCTACTGTTGATGATGCAGCTGTTGTATCGGCAGCTGCTGGTGGTGCAGCTGTTTTGTCGGCAGCTGCTGTTGGTGCAGGTGTTGTATCAGCGGCTACTGTTGTTGGTGCAGCTGTTGTATCGGCAGCTTCTGGTTGTGCAGCTGTTGTGTCGGCAGCAACAGGTGCAGCTGTTGAATCGGCGGCTAGCGTTGTTGGTGCAGCTGTTGTATCGGCAGCTACTGTTGGTGCAGCTGTGGTATTCGCAGCTGCTGTTGTTGGTGCAGCTGTTGTGTCGGCGGCTAGTGTTGTTGTTGCAGCTTTTGTGTCGGCAGCTACTGTTTTTGGTGGAGCTGTTGTGTCGGCGGCTAGCGTTGTTGGTGCAGCTGTTGTGTCGGCGGCTACTGTTGGTGCAGCTGTTGTGTCGGCGGCTAATGTTGTTGGTGCACCTGTTGTATCCGGAAGAGGAGCTGAATTTGGTTTTGGCAATGATGATTCACCTGAAACTTTGCTGGTAGTGTTGCCTGTGACGACACCAGTGCCAGCCGTGACCAAGCTCATGTTGCCACCTTGGTTGTCAACACTGACGGGCACCGACACGTCAGCTCCTGTGGTTGGGACTGACACAGCTTGTCCTGAAGTAGCTGCAGCAGGCAAGCCTTGACCGGATGTCACTTCAGTGTCACTGTTACCTTGGAAACAGAAAATGAAAGTGATACGCCCGTGTAACACTCGACATTACTGGCAAACAAGGATAAGTTGGACCGGCGCAGAGAACGCGTTTACGAGAAGTAGGCGGTGCACAGCAATGAGCAAACCCATTTGGGTTGTGAAAGGTAGAGCACATGTAGGCTAGTGCACGTGAATTGCATGACGATGAAATTGATTCCGCGCGTAGCTGCAAACGCCTTGCTCATAAGACTCGCACGTGATCGGTATAACACTACACTTGATCGCGGACAACCTGGAGCTCCTTCACTAACAATGGCAAGCGCCAGTGGGCAGCACTCATCCATACTAATACGGGGCAATTGTCAGGTCGGTGCTCAACTTATCCTTGTTTGCCAGTAATTGTCATGACACTGTTTAAATGGGATAAAACACAATGTTCCAATTATTTTTTCTTTTGTATTATTTTATACCTTTTTGCGCAAATATTCACATTTTTTCGCATTCAGATAACTGCAGTTTTAAATTGAGCAATTATAATCCGTTTGGGTTCAAATGAAAACGATGAATGATTAAATATCTCGAAATAGGAATTAGTGCACAAAACATAATGAGACCCCTGCTGGTCAGGGGCTGTTCAATCAGCTGTTTGTCACTCCCCGGTGTGAAGCGTGAAAATAGCACAATATTACATGATGGTTTCTAAAACAACTTTTTCCGTGATCGATCAAAAAACGTCAGATTTCAGATCCTGTTGGGTACAGGGTTTCAGGACCATGTGTTTTATTTATGTTTTGTGCACTTTTCCCAATTTCGAGATATTTCATCATTTGTCGTTCTCAATTGAACAAAAACGGACTATAATAATAATTATATCAACCAAACCCTTTTCACAATCATAACTACATGTCTTCTAAAGGCAGTCTTTCTACGCCGTCAAACGTGTATGGAGTTTTTATTTAATCACAATAGATTCGTTATAATACCAAGCGATGACGAATGGTATTTTGTTCATATCGAAAAACAACAACCCTAAATTGCTCTAGTACAAATGTAGCCTATGATTTCTAAAGTACTAAATCGTTGACTAGGAACGCTGCCATGAAGTGGTGTTCTTTAATTGTTTCCTTCGTATATGACAACACTCGAATTTAAACTTACGACAATACAAGCTTTTAAATATTTTATGAATTTCATAGTGTCAGAAACATACATAATTTTAGCACTGTGGTAACGATGCTATACTAGAACATTGGACGATGTCACAAATGTAGAACCCGTGAAGATCCTGGTTAGAATTGGTCTTCAGCAATCCATGCTTGTCGTAAGGGGCGACTAACGGGATCCGGTGGTCAGGCTAGCTGACTTGGTTGACACATGTCATCGTATCCCAATTGCGTGGATCGATGCTCATGCTGTTGATCACTGGATTGTCTGGTCCAGACTTGATTATTTCCAGACCGCCGCCAAATAGCTTGAATTTTGCTGAATGCGGCGTAAAACCCAACTCACTAACTCACTCCATTAAGTTGACAGTTAAGAAAGTTTTGTGGCTGATATTTCACATACCTTGCACGGTTGTTTTTGATGTTGATGAGCTAATCGATGTTGTGGAAGTCGTTCCCGAAACTCCGCTGGTGTTCTGTAGGAATAGAAAAAAAAAAAATAACAATCATGGATGAAAATTTCGAACGGGTCATTAACATCACAATGGCATTAGTATAATTACTTTAGTTTTTAATATTTATGTGAAAAACCCAAAAGGACATATTTTTAGATCGTTTCAAACAATACATACATTAATATCGGTGCCAATATGTTTTAACATATATTTACCTTGAAGTCACTTATTGGCAGTAGCAAGATGTTCTGCCAGATAGTGTCAAATCTTCCAATGATATTCCGGTTTATGGCATGTTAATACAGGCAGGGTACATTATTGTAAATGACACAAACGCCGCAAACACCTACGCAAAGACGCGCGTCAAGTTTAAATGAGTGCAATTAATGCGTTTATATAATTTATTCATTTCCGTTCTTTGTTGATTATGTATGTTTTAATCAGTTAACATATTGCGTTTTATAAGTAAAATTCAAATAATGGCAAACTATCAATTATTTATAAAATTAAATTAAATAAGTTTGATACTTCAAAGGAAATACCGCCAGTGACGTTGAGAAATCCAGCAGATGACTAACCGGAACATACAAACATTCCGTTGGCTCGTTTCTCATTTCTGATGTCCTATTCATTTTAGTCATTGTCGTGTCTTTATTCATCATTTAATTCATTATTTTTTTCAAAATAAAAGTTACACATCTCAAAGTTGAAATCATTTGATTAAGAAATCAAAAGATAAGTCACATTCCATCATGCTCTGAGATGACAGAGAAGGCATTTAAACAACATTCAATCTTCAACGTGACAAGGTAGATCTATAAATGTCTTTCTTGGATTAAAAATAATTCATTAATCACTTTATTAATATCTGTTTCCTTTTAATGAATGATGCACCAAAGAGGAATGTAATACTGTGCTCTTTGTTCTACAATGTACTAGATTAGTCAGATGATTGACAGGTGACAGATATGCGGGGCTATGTACAATGCAGCTTTCCACATTTTTATCGATGTATCACGATGATGCATCCAGAAAATTAAGAGTTATGTCCCTTTATTTAAAACAAATATATATGATACATAGAGTTATGAGGGCTACACGGTTGGGTTGAAACACCAAACGAAGGGTTATCTGCCTTGGGTGTATATGGATCATGTTACTCTTAACAGGCACGAAGAACAATAAACACAAGCGAGATGAATGGTTTAAAATTTATTCAATCACAGACAAAATGCACGTATGTAAATGTATATAATGTATACAATTTACATTTCAAAACAGGTTCGATCAGTAAATATAATTTGTGAATAACAATGTGATATACACGTTTTGAATCATATGTGTAAACAAAGCAATGAAAAATATCCATGGTGTTAAAGCTTTCTTTCGTGATGCGTTGAAAACAGCATGTACAAATATCAGTACAGAAAACAAAAAAATAAGAAATAGTTACTAACACAAAGACGACAAATAGCAGTGTTAGATAAACAATATTGGATAAACAGTATTGGAAATGTTCATATTTGTTTGGTCAGGAACATTTATCCGGACAAAATGCCATTGTTTTGGTAATATCTTGCATTAAATATTTGGTAATATTGAAACAGCATGTACAAACATCAGTACAGAAAACAAAAAAAAATAATAAATAGTTACTAACACAAAGACGACAAATATCAGTTTTAGATAAACAGTATTGGATAAATAGTAATGGATAAACAGTATTTGAAATGTTCATATTTGTCTGGCCAGGAACCGTTTATCCGGACAAAATGCCATTGTTTTGGCAACAACTTGCATTGAATATTTGTTAATTTTTTGACAGACACAAACACTGTTTGAGATGGCATTATCTCTTGCTAAATTATTAATGTCAGCTAACCAAGAACTAAGGTATAACAGCTAAGACACAAGGCAGATGCAAAGTTGAAATATTGCGTTCTGTCTCCCATAACCATCAGTGTCTGTCCCTAACAAATCCCCAACTCTTCACAGAGATATGGACGTACCTTGGCTGAAATTGATTTCATCACGGGTGACATGTGATGCTGTTCACCACCTGGATAGTTCCATGTAGCACGAGCTGTCATCGAGTTGCGAACAGGTGGCACTGTATGAACGTCGCTGTATGGATGGTGCATTGCTGATCGTGAGGCTTCTGTAGGTTGATCTGCCATCGAGTTGAGCATGGGTGGCGCTATATGTACGTCGCTGTACTGATGGTGCATTGCAGATCGTGAGGCTTCTGTAGGTTGACCTGAAGGTTGATCTGCCATCGAGTTGAGCATCGTACGTCGCTGTACTGATTGAGCGCAGGTGGCACTGTATGAACGTCGCTGTACTGATGGTGCATTACAGATCGTGAGGCTTCTGTAGGTTGAGCTGAAGGTTGATCTGCCATCGAGTTGAGCGCAGGTGGTATTGTATGTACGTCGCTGTATGAGTGGTGCATTACAGATCGTGAGGCTTCTGTAGGTTGACCTGAAGGTTGATCTGCCATCGAGTTGAGCATGGGTGGCACTGTATGCACATCGTTGTATTGACGATACATTGAAGACCCTCTAACTTCTGTAGGTTGAGCTGAAGGTTGATCTGCCATCGTGTTGAGCATGAGTGGCACTGTATGAACGTCGCTGTACTGATGGTGCATTGCAGATCGTGAGACTTCTGTAGGTTGAGCCGAATGTTGATCTGCCATCGAGTTGAGCATGAGTGGCACTGTATGCACATCGCTGTATTGATGATACATTGAAGACCCTCTAACTTCTGTAGGTTGAGCTGAAGGTTGATCTGCCATCGAGTTGAGCATGAGTGGCACTGTATGCACATCGCTGTATTGATGATACATTGAAGACCCTCTAACGTCTGTAGGTTGAGCCGAAGGTTGATCTGCCATCGAGTTGAGCATGGGTGGCACTGTATGAACGTTGCTGTACTGATGGTACATTGCAGATCGTCTGGCTTCTGTAGGTTGAGCTGAAGGTTGATCTGCCATCGAGTTGAGCATGGGTGGCACTGTATGCACATCGCTGTATTGATGATACATTGAAGACCCTCTAACTTCTGTAGGTTGAGCTGAAGGTTGATCTGCCATCGAGTTGAGCATGGCTGGCACTGTATGCACATCGCTGTATTGATGATACATTGAAGACCCTCTAACTTCTGTAGGTTGAGCTGAAGGTTGATCTGCCATCGAGTTGAGCATGGGTGGCACTGTATGAACGTTGCTGTACTGATGGTGCATTGCAGATCGTGAGGCTTCTGTAGGTTGAGCTGAAGGTTGATCTGCCATCGAGTTGAGCATGGTGGCACTGTATGAACGTCGCTGTACTGATGCCACATTGGAGAGCCTCTGACTCCTGAAGGTTGAGCTGCCATGGATTGTACTGGAAGTGGATCTCTATATTGATAATACTCCCTTGCGATGAGCTGGGCATCTGTGGGTTCTTCTGCGTTTGAGTTCATCACTGGTGGCATTTCTGATCCTTCACCATATTGATAGTGCATTGCAGGGCCTGTGGTTTCTGGGGGATGATATGCCGGTGAGTTTCTGTCGGGTGATTGTGGATAAGTTCCTCTTCGTGGCTGATAGTTCCATTGAGCAGGTCCTGAAGGCTGGGCATAGTGGACTGAAGGAATATGTCGAGGCGTCTGCCATTGCATGGTGTTGGTGTTGCGCGGCATAGTTTGAGGATATCCCCGATAAAGAGCGGGCAGGAGATGCTGGAAAATGTAATAGGCAAGCGAGAGTTCTCCATTTTCAGGAGGTTCAGGGGCCTCAGTTGCTTCAGGAGGCGGAGTAGGCTCTGTTGTAGCTGGCGTTGTTGTTGCTGGGGTTGTTGTCCCAGTTGTTGTTGTTGCTGCTGCTGTTGATGTAGGAGTCCATGTCCCTGTTGTAGTGTTTCCTTTTGTTGCTGGAGCTGCTGTTGTCTCTGTAGCTGATGCTGCGACGGCTGATGTTGTCGTTGTCGGGCTTGTTGTTGTTTCTGACCCATGTGTGGATGTTGCAGTTGGTGTCGACGCAGCAGATGGTGTTGTTGCTACTGCTGCTAATGTCGTTGTCGGTGCTGATGATGTTGATGTTGTAGTTTGGGACAGAGCATTGGTTGAATGTTTAAGGGGAGATCTCTGCGTGGTCGTAGCGACAGATCCCACTGTTACCAAGCTGGGTGCGTTTGGATAGACGTGATATGAGTTAGGCTGGGAAGTCTGTTCATTTGGATGAGTGGTGATTTCAACAGTTGATTTGGCACTCTGGTATCTAGCCGTAGGAGGAGATGTGATCTCAACAGGCATCTGCGACATATTACCACTTCCAATTGCTGTTGAAGAAGCTCTTTGGGCATTGTGAGTGGAGAATTGTAGGGAATTTACTTCGGCAGGTACATGTTCACCGTGGTCTCTAGTGACCGGTAGGGGAGTAACTTCAGCAGGTGCCTGTTCACCATGGTTACTGTTGACTGGTATCACTGTTCCTTCGGGAGCGTGTCCACCCTCGTGACTAGTAACTGGTAGGGGAGTAACTTCAGCAGGTGCCTGTTCACCATGGTTACTGTTGACTGGTATCACTGTTCCTTCGGGAGCGTGTCCACCCTCGTGACTAGTAACTGGTAGGGGAGTAACTTCAGCAGGTGCCTGTTCACCATGGTTACTGTTGACTGGTATCACTGTTCCTTCGGGAGCGTGTCCACCCTCGTGACTAGTAACTGTTAGGGGAGTAACTTCAGCAGGTGCGTGTTCACCATGGCGACTGTTGACTGGTATCGCTGTTCCTTCAGGAGCGTGTCCACCCTCGTGACTAGTAACTGTTAGGGGCGTAACGTCAGCAGGTGCGTGTTCACCATGGCGACTGTTGACTGGTATCGCTGTTCCTTCAGGAGCGTGTCCACCCTCGTGACTTGCAACAGGTAGAGGAGTAACTTCATCAGGTGCATGTGCACTATAGTCACTGGCGACTGATATTGGAGTAACTTCAGCAGGTGCGTGTACACCGTGGTCAGTGGCAACTTTAGAAGGTGCGAGCGCAGCATCGTGACTGGCGTCGAGAAGGGACGTAGTCTCAACAGACCTATGTGCACCTTCCTGACTGGCAGGTAGTGTTGTTGCTTCAGGATTAACTCTTACAGTCTCTTGACTGGTAGCAATTTTGGGCGTAACTTCAACATGAGCCATGTGGTTGGTGGGAGGTAGTTTGGCTGCCTCATAATGGGCTGGTACAGCCTCGTGGTTGATGGCAGACTGTGTTGGTGCTTCAAGATGAGCTTGTACAGGACCTTGAGATTCCAGGACTTTGTTACTCTTGACAGGTAGAGTTGGGACTTCAACATGAGCTTGCCCAGACACGTAGTTGATAGCAGGTAGGGGCGTAACTTCAACATGATCTTGTAGAGCCTCCTGGTTGGTTGGAGGTGGTTTTGTTTTTTCAGTATAGGCTTGTACAGCCTTGGGAATGGTAACAGGTAGAGGCGTAACTTCAACATAAGTTTGTACGGAGTCTACAACCTCGTTGTTGGCGACAGGTAGAGATGGTGCTTGAACAGGTGCGTGCGCCACCTCTTGACTGGTGGCAATTTTGGGCGTAACTTCAACATGAGCCATGTGGTTGGTGGGAGGTAGTTTGGCTGCCTCATAATGGGCTGGTACAGCCTCGTGGTTGATGGCAGACTGTGTTGGTGCTTCAAGATGAGCTTGTACAGGACCTTGAGATTCCAGGACTTTGTTACTCTTGACAGGTAGAGTTGGGACTTCAACATGAGCTTGCCCAGACACGTAGTTGATAGCAGGTAGGGGCGTAACTTCAACATGATCTTGTAGAGCCTCCTGGTTGGTTGGAGGTGGTTTTGTTTTTTCAGTATAGGCTTGTACAGCCTTGGGAATGGTAACAGGTAGAGGCGTAACTTCAACATAAGTTTGTACGGAGTCTACAACCTCGTTGTTGGCGACAGGTAGAGATGGTGCTTGAACAGGTGCGTGCGCCACCTCTTGACTGGTGGCAATTTTGGGCGTAACTTCAACATGAGCCATGTGGTTGGTGGGAGGTAGTTTGGCTGCCTCATAATGGGCTGGTACAGCCTCGTGGTTGATGGCAGACTGTGTTGGTGCTTCAAGATGAGCTTGTACAGGACCTTGAGATTCCAGGACTTTGTTACTCTTGACAGGTAGAGTTGGGACTTCAACATGAGCTTGCCCAGACACGTAGTTGATAGCAGGTAGGGGCGTAACTTCAACATGATCTTGTAGAGCCTCCTGGTTGGTTGGAGGTGGTTTTGTTTTTTCAGTATAGGCTTGTACAGCCTTGGGAATGGTAACAGGTAGAGGTGTAACTTCAACATAAGTTTGTACGGAGTCTACAACCTCGTTGTTGGCGACAGGTAGAGATGGTGCTTGAACAGGTGCGTGCGCCACCTCTTGACTGGTGACAAGTGGCGACGATACGTCAACAGGTGCGCGTACAACGTAACGGCTGTTGACAGGTACTGACGGTATCTTGACGGGTACGTATGTAACTTTCTGATTGGTAATAGGTACAGATGGTACCTCACCAGGTGCGCGTACAACGTACTGGCTGGCGACAAAACTTGGAGGATTTTCAACGGGTGCATGTGAAGCCTTCTGAATGGCGATAGAGAGAGGTGATACTACCGTAGAAGCGTGTACAGTCCTGTTTATGTTGCTGGTGACAGTTCGAGATGGTCCTGCAAAGGGTGATGGCATAGTCTTTCGACTAGACATAGGTACGGATTGCACTTTAACAGTTCGATGCACACCATTTTGACTATCTACATATTGGTGTGGTACTTCAGCATGTGTGTGTACAATTCTTTGACTAACGAGAGGTGACGATGCTTCCACAGATGCATGCACAACATTGTGACTGGAGGCAGGTGGAAGTGCATTTTCAGGTGCTCTTGGAACGTTGTTATTGTTAGGAAGAGTTGGTGCTTCAGCAGGTGCTTGTACAGCCTCGCGACTGGCTAGAGCTAATTCTTCAGCAGCTGGATGAACATGTACGGCATTGTGACTAAAGGTAGGTAGAGATGCAATTTCAGGTGCGCTTGGAACATTGTTGTTAGGGACAACCGGTACTTCAACAGGTGCTTGTACAACCTTGCGACTGGCTATAGCTGGTGATGTTTCTTCAGCAGCGTGATGAACAACCTTGTGACCTTCAACAGGTGGTGACCACACTACAACAGCTGGCTGTTCCGCCTTACTGTTACTGGTGAAAGGTGATGGTGCTTTAACAGGGGCGTGTCCAATCTTTTGTGTGACAACAGGTGCTGACCATTCTTTAGCAGCCTTGTCCCATACATTGTGATTTTCGACAGGTGGTGACCATACTACAATACTTGGATGTTCCACCTTGTGACTGGTGACATGAGATGGCGATACTTCAGCAGGAGCGTGTACAACCTTATGACTGGCTGAAGGTGTTGATAATACTTCGACAGGTGGCCGTTCAGTCTTTTGACCAGCAACAGATGTGGATGGTCCTTCTGCAGGTGCGTGTACCACCTTATCACTTGCTTGTGGAGATGACAATACTTCGGCAGGGTGCTGCACAGTCTTTGGACCAGCAACAGGTACAGATGATACTTCAGCAGGTGCGTGTACAACGTTGTTACTAGTGACAGGCGGTGGCGATGCCTCAGCAGGTGCGTGTACAACCTTATCACTTTCTTGTGATGATGACAATACTTCGGCTGTTGGCTGTACAATCTTAGGACCGGCAACAGGTGCAGATGATACTTCAGTAGGTGTGTGTACAGCGGTATTACTGGTGACAGTCGGTGGCGATAGTTCAGCAGGAATGTGTACAACGTCGTTACTAGTGACAGGCTGTGGCGATATCTCAACAGGTGCGTGTACAACATTGTTATTAATGACACTTGGTGGCGATAATTCAGCAGGAGCGTGTTCAACGTTGTTACTAGTGACAGGCGGTGGCGATACATCAGCAGGTGAGTGTACAACCTTATCACTTTCTTGTGGAGATGGCAATACTTCGGCAGGCGGCTGCACAATCTCTGGACCAGCAACAGGTACAGATGACACTTCAGCAGGCGCGTGTACAATTTTATCACTTGCTGGTGGAGATGACAATACTTCGGCAGGCGCCTGCACAATCTTTGGACCAGCAACAGGTGCAGATGATACTTCAGCAGGTGCGTGTACAACCTTATCACTTGCTGGTGGAGATGGTAATACTTCGGCAGGTGGCTGTACCATCTTTGGACCAGCAACAGGTACAGATGATACTTCAGCAGGTGCGTGTACAACCTTATCACTTGCTGGTGGAGATGACAATATTTCGACAGGAGCGTGTACAACGTTGTTATTAATGACACTTGGTGGCGATACATCAGCAGGTGAGTGTACAACCTTATCACTTGCTGGTGGAGATGACAATACTTCGGCAGGTGGCTGCACAATCTTAGGACCAGCAACAGGTACGGATGATACTTCAACAGGTGCGTGTACAATCTCATCACTTGCTGGTGGAGATGACAATACTTCAACAGGTGTGTGTATTACCTTATCACTTGCTGGTGGAGATGACAATACTTCGGCAGGGTGCTGCACAATCATTGGACCGGCAACAGGTACAGATAATGCTTCAGCAGGTGTGTGTACAGCGGTATTACTGGTGACAGTCGGTGGCGATAGTTCAGCAGGAATGTGTACAGCGTCGTTACTAGTGACAGGCTGTGGCGATATCTCAGCAGGTGCGTGTACAACATTGTTATTAATGACACTTGGTGGCGATAATTCAGCAGGAGCGTGTTCAACGTTGTTACTAGTGACAGGCGGTGGCGATACATCAGCAGGTGAGTGTACAACCATATCACTTTCTTGTGGAGATGGCAATACTTCGGCAGGCGGCTGCACAATCTTTGGACCAGCAACAGGTACAGATGAAACTTCAGCAGGCGCGTGTACAATTTTATCAATTGCTGGTGGAGATGACAATACTTCGGCAGGCGCCTGCACAATCTTTGGACCAGCAACAGGTGCAGATGACACTTCAGCAGGTGAGTGTACAACCTTATCACTTGCTGGTGGAGATAGCAATACTTCGGCAGGTGGCTGTACCATCTTAGGACCAGCAACAGGTACAGATGATACTTCAGCAGGTGCGTGTACAACCTTATCACTTGCTGGTGGAGATGACAATATTTCGACAGGAGCGTGTACAACGTTGTTATTAATGACACTTGGTGGCGATACATCAGCAGGTGAGTGTACAACCTTATCACTTGCTGGTGGAGATGACAATACTTCGGCAGGTGGCTGCACAATCATTGGACCAGCAACAGGTACGGATGATACTTCAGCAGGTGCGTGTTCAACCTTATCACTTGCTGGTGGAGATGACAATACTTCGGCAGGTGGCTGCACAATCATTGGACCGGCAACAGGTACAGATAATACTTCAGCTGGTGCGTGTACAACCTTATCAATTGCTGGTGGAGATGACAATAATTCGGCAGGCGGCTGCACAATCTTAGGACCAGCAACAGGTACAGATGATACTTCAACAGGTGCGTGTACAACCTCATCACTTGCTTGTGGAGATGACAATACTTCAGCAGGTGTGTGTATTACCTTATCACTTGCTGGTGGAGATGACAATACTTCGGCAGGGTGCTGCATAATCATTGGACCAGCAACAGGTACAGATGATGCTTCAGTAGGTGTGTGTACAGCGGTATTACTGGTGACAGTCGGTGGCGATAGTTCAGCAGGAATGTGTACAACGTCGTTACTAGTGACAGGCTGTGGCGATATCTCAGCAGGTGCGTGTACAACATTGTTATTAATGACACTTGGTGGCGATAATTCAGCAGGAGCGTGTTCAACGTTGTTACTAGTGACAGGCGGTGGCGATACATCAGCAGGTGAGTGTACAACCTTATCACTTTCTTGTGGAGATGGCAATACTTCGGCAGGCGGCTGCACAATCATTGGACCAGCAACAGGTACAGATGATACTTCAGCAGGTGCGTGTACAACTTTATCACTTGCTGGTGGAGATGACAATATTTCGACAGGAGCGTGTACGACGTTGTTATTAATGACACTTGGTGGCGATACATCAGCAGGTGCGTGTACAACCTTATCACTTGCTGATGGAGATGACAATACTTCGGCAGGTGGCTGCACAATCATTGGACCAGCAACAGGTACGGATGATACTTCAGCAGGTGCGTGTTCAACCTTATCACTTGCTGGTGGAGATGACAATACTTCGGCAGGTGGCTGCACAATTATTGGACCGGCAACAGGTACAGATGATACTTCAGCAGGTGCGTGTACAACTTTATCACTTGCTGGTGGAGATGACAATATTTCGACAGGAGCGTGTACAACGTTGTTATTAATGACACTTGGTGGCGATACATCAGCAGGTACGTGTACAACCTTATCACTTGCTGGTGGATATGACAATACTTCTGCAGGTGGCTGCACAATCATTGGACCAGCAACAGGTACGGATGATACTTCAACAGGTGCGTGTACAACAATACCACTTGCAAGTGATGGGGACAATCCTTCTACATATGGCTGTACAACATTGTGACTGTCGACAGGTGGTGGCGATACTTGTACAGGAACGTGTAGATCGTTGTTACTGGCGACGTGTAGAGACGGCACTTCAACAGGAGCCTGTACAATGTTTGGACCATCAACAGATACAGATGATACTTCAGCTGGTGCGTGTACAACCTTAACACTTGCTTGTGATGATGACAATACTTCGGCAGGTGGCTGTACAATCTTAGGACCGGCAACAGGTACAGATGATACTTCAGCAGGTGCGTGTACAACCTTATCACTTGCAAGTGATGGGGACAATCCTTCTACATATGGCTGTACAACATTGTGACTGTCGACAGGCGGTGGCGTTACTTGTACAGGAACGTGTAGATCGTTGTTACTGGCGACGTGAAGAGACGGCACTTCAACAGGAGCCTGTACAATGTTTGGACCAGCAACAGATACAGATGATACATCAGCAGGTGAGTGTACCACCTTATCACTTGCTTGTGGAGATGACAATACTTCGGCAGGTGGCTGCACAATCTTTGTCCCAGCAACAGGTACGGATGATATTTCAGCAGGTGAGTGTAGAACCTTATCACTCGCTTGTTTACCCACAGCAGGAGTGGGTACCATGTTATGACTAACGACAGATGGTGATGGTACATCTACCGGTGGGTGTGGAACAGGTTTGCTGACGATAGGAGATGATGGCACTTCCACAGGTGTGCTTACAACCTCGGGACTGGCGGCAGGTAGTTGCGGCTCTTTAGGAGGAGCTGCACCAGAGAACACTCCAGTAGGGGGACCTGGAATAGTCTCAGGTACTGGTGTCGGGTTTGCGCTTTTGAGTTCTGGTTGCGTCTCTGACGTCCCAGGAAGCACTGGAAGCGGCCTGACATTGTAGTCAGGCTTTGTACTAGGGCGAGAGGGAGGCTGCTGGCCACTTGGCGGTTGAACGTCAATAAACTGCTCACTTTGTCCAGGAGGAACTGGTATGCTTGCTATGGGTTTATTTGTCGGCATTGACACAACGGACAATTGGGGAGACATATGTGTTTGTGACAAAGGTGAAGGTTCTGTCGTTGAGCTGTCAAACTGACTTGGTATGATGGGGTGTCGGTACGTTGGGGGCGTTGTTCCTTTCACAGTAGTTCCGAGTTCTAATCCGGAATAGTTCATTGTGGTCATACCACCAGTAAGACCTTCCTTGGGCACAGAGGAACTAGTAAAACTGACACGGACTCTCGTCATAGAACTTGTGTTGTGATTTAAGTTAGCACCAATGTCTTTTGAGTTTGACTTACAGAAGTATTTGCTGTATTGACCTTGGGTATCGTGGCAGGCTTTGGAGCTGTATTCTCAGGTAACTCGAGTTTGGGTCCTTGTGAGGATTTACGAGCAGCAGCTTGATTGGCTACATAATATAAACTTCGTGCAATGGATTTGATTGTGGCTAGCGGAGCATTTGGAAATTGATCAGACACTTGTTGAAATATACGTTGAATTTGTCCAGAAGGAGGATTGACATTGGTACTTGCGACAACCATTCTAGGCTTACTTCTATTCTCAGAAACAGTGAATGGTCTGGATGGAGTCTGAACGTAATTTGTATTCTTTCTTGTCCTTGGTGATTCTGATGGCGTTTCCAGGTGATCATTCATCTTTCTTGGTGCCAATGGCTTTGATGGTGCTTGTACGTACACGTGTGTCTTTTCAGCTGCTGTTGATCTTGATGACTCTTGCACATAATTATAAATCCTGTTTCGTGTCGAGGTGGTCCCAGACATATCACCGGGTAGTTTTTTACTTCTCTTGGTAAACAATGGGTTGACTGAATTCTGGTTCGTGTTTGAAAAGGTTTGTTCACCTAACAAGTTGTGTCCCTTGTCAAATAAGTCAAACTCACCCAATTTCTGTGAATATGTCTCAGTTTGAATAACATCCTTTCTAGCTGCGGCTTCTCCTTGTCTATTCGGGTGCATGATGGCCTTGGTCCTTGACTGTGGGAGAACCTCTAGGCGCATTTGTCTGGAATTGGCACGTGAAGTGGGTGACATTTTCCTTGTTGAAGCGGATGATACTCCAGGCTGGGATCGAATCTTGTTGGAAGAAGGGTTTCTTACCAACGCAGGTCGCCTAACAGCTGATCTCGCCAGATTTCTATTCATACGGACCTGTCCTTGTTTTGTCCTTGAAATTGTCCTTGGTCTCGTGAAACGTGGTTTAGAATTAGCTCGAGACAATGCAGGTGTACTTGATGACCTCAAACGACCTGCAGAGTTCATTTCAATATCAGGTGACTGTTTGTTTTCAGTTTCCGAACTTTGCGGACGCATTTTGTTCACTGCTGGTCTACCGTTAGTCCTTCTTGCTAACGGTCTGGCATTTCTTAGAGGAGTCTGAGCCTTCTTACCTTGATGCCTGTTTAACTGACTACTCCTCAACATGGCTCGTCTCTGCTTCTCATGTGTCGCCTGTCTGCGTCTCGATGCAACATCGCTACCAAAACGTCCACGTATTGCGGGTCCTGATGCCAAGCGACTGTTTGTTCTTGAGGTAGCTCTTTCCCTGGCTCGGATTCTGTTTAAGACGTTTTCTTGGCGACGTCGTTGGTTAATTCTTTGCTGTGGCGTACGAATCTGCTGACCAGCTCTGCCGCTGCGCCTGATTCCTGAAGCAGAACTTTCCTTCCGTGTTTGGTCGCCTCCGGTATTTTCCTTTTCCGATGTGTCCCCGGTTGGTGTAACTTGAGATGAACGAAATCTTACGTTAACATTCCGGGACCAAATGCTCTGTTTGACCGTTCTTGACCTTGCCATCTTCGTCCAGGATATTGCGCGTAGCACATGTGCAGCGCGTAAAGCACGCACGCGACAGTGCCCAGCACATGCATATTTGCACTGACTCCGTATGCGTTGTGTGTTAGTAGGTATTTCTGCGCTCAGCGATTACGGTGCTCACCTGACCACTAACTCACAACATTAACAAAGTGACCAGCGTGAATTGCCACTCTAAGTACTGTACCTCAGATGACCATCAATCATATTTTACCTGTGAAGACGTAATTAACAATACCTGTTAGGTAAAAGAACAATACAACATGAGCCCCAAACATGAATGACCAGTGTGACGAGTGTGAGATGCTAGCCAGTGTGACGTCATGTGATTGTGCAAGGGCTAATGAGGGCACTTAACACGTACATTGCATCTTGTTGACAGATTGGTGATGTCTTACTGGTGAGGCACCTGTAATTTATAATCCCCAGGTGTGAAATAGCTCACCTTTACTGAATATTTCCTGTGGCGCATTAAACAAAGATGCGAATGTTGATCAAATTCCGATGCCAATCACATAACTTGAATATACAAAAACAACGTTTTTCAAAGATAATTGTCTCATATAAAGAATTAGTTTGTAACAAATGTACTTTAAACGTGCTTGAAGACGAATATCACTTGTTGCTAATATGTCCATTTTATAACCGATGCAGATCCCAATGTATTCCAGCCTATTTCTACAGCCCACCTTCAATTGTCAAATTCCGAGCCCTTATGAAGATACACAGTGTCACTGTTCTTAAAGGAATATGTATATACCTGAAGCAAAACCTACGTTAAAATAATTGTATTATGAATTATATTTCAACTCTACACACCATGACAATGTTGTATTACCTGTTGTACTCTTGGCCACATGGCCTTCAATTCTGAATAAAAGTTATCAAATAGCTCACCTTATTTATGACGGATACATGCGTACAGGCGTTTATGAGCAGTGGTGGTAAGTTGGGGGTGGGGTGGGGGTTTCGAGGAGAGAGAGAAGAGTAAGAGTGGAAGTCGCGGTGGCTGAGCGGTTTAGGCGGCTGGCTTTATGTGCTGCCGATATGGTGCCTGAATCTGAGGGTGTGGGTTCGGATCCTGGATGAGACGATTTGTTTCCGTATCAAGGTTTTATTGGTATTTAATTGTAATTATATTGATTAGTGTTAGTTTTATATTGCCCCTAGCTTTTAATGTGTGCCGAAACATTTTGTTAGAAACAGGAATTTCTGCTGCTAAAATACTGAGGTAAATGTTTTTCTTTTTTCATATTGGACGCTCATATTAAAGCAAAGCTTGTGTAAAAGCACAGTTCCATCAATGGTCCTTGTCAGTTAAGGCCGACAAGCCCATGATCTGTTTGTTGGCAGAAATAATACGTTTGTGTTGCCATGTGTAATGGTTGATGTACTTTTGCGTGATAATTACAATACAATAGTGAGGGTTGTTTGTTTGTTTGTTTGTTTGTTTGTTTGTTTGTTGTTTACCGTTGCAATGTTTCAGCTATGTGGCGGCGGTCTGTAAATAATCAAATCTGGATTGGACAAACCAGTGATCAATACCAGTGAGCATCGATCTACGCAATTGGGAACTGATGACATGAGTCAACCAAGTCAGCGAGCCTGACCACCCGGTCCCTTTAGTCGCCTCTTACAAGCATGGTTTGCTGAAGACCAATTCTAACGGGGATTTTCATGGGTTGGAGATTAAGTCGTCTATCATATTTAAATGATAAATGTTTAGGAAGATGTGGGCTCAAAAACTGTGTAAACACAGTCGGTCTTCGCTCAATTAGTCACCATATTCATATAGATACAGACTTAAACTAGTACCCAGTGTAGAAACCCATATTTTTCATTGCATGCTTATTTTTTTAGAAATTAGCTCTAGAGGAATAAATATTTTGTTAGTGTAGACTTCAAGCCAGCTGCAATGACGTCTAGTCAAACCGTGGCTATGTTACAAAAGACCCACCCAAAGAATTATAATGTACAACATCATTTTCATTTTCAGAAAATCATTGTGATTGATGTAGTGTTTATTTCTTACTGTCAATCATAAACATACAGTGTCTATTTCAAACTACCAGAATTGTCTCTTATGCCAAATATTTTCATAATAAATCAAATATGCGCCCTTTTTATAATGATTAAGTACGACGTTTCAGAACGGGAAATCCCAAAACACGTCTACTGTTGATGATGAATTAGACTGTTCTGGAAGGTATTAATTAAAACCCAACGTGAAAACAGATCCACGAGCGATCTGGTATAATTGCAAGTTTACTTGAATCAGCAGGGTAAAAGAATTCGAAAACTGTTAACACATGTTCCATGTGGGCTCAGAAGGCTGCATGACTGTCCTCAGTGCCCTGATCGGGCGTATTTAACAACTGATTGAGATTGATGGGCGTGACATCTTCAGGTGTCTATTTCGTGCTTCGCCTGTCAATCAAACTTGTCACAGTTACAATTAACATGCTGAACGGGCGTATTTGGCAAAGCTGTGCTGTCTCATATTCCTAATTTAGGTTATATATTTCTGAATCATGTGCTCGCATCACGGAGGAGGAATCTAAACTGACGCACAAAAGAAAGTTTGCACTTTCAATTTGACCCCGAAACGGTGAACGTTATCAAAACTTCATTTGGATAAGACAGTTGGAAAAACACGACAATATTACGGTCCAAAGCACACAAATTAAGCCTGCATCAAATACACCACCGTCAAATAACCATTTTATATTTATTTCATTTAAGCTACCGTCAAACATGAGCGTATACTTTCTCTGTCGGCAATACAGTTTCGAGGGCGGTGGGGTAGCCTAGTGGTTAAAGCGTTCGCTCGTCACGCCGAAGACCCGGGTTCGATTCCCCACAGGCCTTCGGTCTGACGAGCGAACGCCTTAACCACTAAAGTACTGTCGGAAATAGAAAAACTGTTTTTTGGCTGTTACTCTGTAACCCTAAAATTTACACAATTGCAAATAGCATATGTCGAAATAACCCACATCGGCCTAACTGGGCGTTCAGTGGGATGCGAAATAGGATATCCAGAAAAGCATGTTTACTCGTAAAATCGAGCAAAACTTAGAAAAAATACGAATACCTGTTTAAAACAATAGATCAGACTATAGATGACAATTAGGTGGCTCAGCCAGGTATGATGACAATATCAATATCATCGCACACTAATTTGCATAAAGCCAAGGTCTGTTCCAAATAAGTCGACTTGGACTTTTTTCACGTTTCCTATCTCCCTACCACTGAGACTGTAGTTAGGCCGAACTTGGTCTAACAGATATTTCACACTTTGACATATTAACTTCATAAATTGTGGATATAAATGTGAAAAAACAGGGGTTTTTTTATTTCCAACAGTACTTTACGCTACCCCACCATGTTGAGAAATAACGTGGGTAATCTGTTCAAATGCTATACAGTAAAGATATTGTAATCTACAACAATTCGTGTCTTTGTGTTTTAAACTTCTAAAAAACTAAAACTAAGTTCTAACACTTAATGTTAATGAATCACAATTTCTCATCGCCATGACATGTTCCCTTATATATTAAACTGACGCACCGTTATAGAGCTAGAGCACTGTTCAAGAAAGCGTCAACTCCAAGTCACTCACTCATTCACAACCCTACCACAAGGAGAGATCATCAGCTGACTGTTATAGTCTTAAAATGCTTCTTGGAATACTGAATCGCTTCTACTTTTGGTTTTCGGATGCTATAAAGAACCAATGAAGCACGCTGTGCTATTATCTTAATGAATGGGGTGAGTGAGTTTAGTTTTACGCCGCACTCAGCAATATTACAGCCATATGGCGGCGGTCTGTAAATAATCGAGTCTGGACCAGACAATCCAGTGATCAACAACATGAGCATCGATCTACGCAATTGGAACCGATGACATGTGTCAAACAAGTCAGCGAGCCTGACCACCCGATCCCGTTAGTCACCTCTTACGACAAGCATGGGTTACTGAAGGCCAATATTCTAACCGGGCCTTCACGGGTCGTTAATGAATGGGAAGACGACGTAGTATGGTCACGTGACATCGTCAGACAGTCTCCTATGCAAGTCGTTTCCGTCATTCCAATAAATAAAAAATCTATCGTGATCATGGGATAATCGGGTTAATTACGATTGGGATGGCTTAATATTTCAACGCCTTCGCCCTTTCAATGCCACAGATACCCTTTTTTGTTTAAAGACGTCAACAATTGAAGCGAAACTTCACGTAGAATGAGTGAAGCATGAACTGCCATGCCTTTGCAGGTGTTTGTGACTGTTTCCATCCGGATTTCGTGATGCGACCCTGTTCACCTTTACCAGATTAAGCGAGTGACATTTTAACGTCGTATCGACGTTACCTTAGCGATATAACGACCACATGTTCTCCCAACACCTACCTAAACATTATATCATTGGATGAAAGTGTTTCATAAACTTGGAATAATTTTTATCGTTTTTATGTAAGAATTTAAATTATCAATGTTTTGGCGATTAAGAAGTATGTGATCTATGTAGCATTTTGCATAACTTATATATTTTTATAAAGAAACAGATTTCTTACAACAAATATATAACTTCATGTTTTTTCAAGGTAGAATAACGGGAATATGTGTAGATTCTTTGTAATCGTGTATGTCACAACGCTGAAGGCGACAGAAGTCACCATCATGATGCGTATCATCACTAATCTGTATTTAGCCTAAAGATACTGAGAGATATTGATGTATTACACTGTTGTGTGGTGACAATGGGAATGGTCACGTGACATCGTGATTTATCACATGACCTTAAGCCATAACTGACGGCATGGGTTCATTACACGTTGGCAAAAATGACGGCAAAATTTTATTCGTAAAAAAGAACAACTGAAGAAAATATCAAATTTCTAATCAAATAAAATATGCAAAAGATCGATTTAAATGACACAAATAAACTAGACTGATGGATTGATAAATTTGTCATACACTGAGTGGAGGTTTAAAGTCTGTTTGAAAACCCGTTTACCATAAACCGTTTAACATTTTCACCGACATTGCTGTCATGTCGTTATTGTGGTTCCATAAGGTGTTTGTTTGTTGTTTGTTTGTTTGTTGGTTGGTTGGTTGGTTGGTTTGTTGTTTAATGTCGCACTCAGCAATCGATCCCGTTAGTCGCCTCTTAGAACAAGCATGGGTTGCTGAAGACCAATTCCAAACCGGATCTTCACGGGTCCCCTGTAACCCCTTTGAGATTAGGCTATAATCTGTTTTGTCCACTTGAATGAATTAAGACTTTAATATTTGTATATGCCCTTGTATTCTGTTTAAGAAAGAATGTGTTGATAAAATTGTATCTTATTATTTATGTTTAAAATGTTAATTTCGCTTGAACTATGTGCACTGTTTACATATAAATGGTATTTATATATAACAAGATAAACTCTCATTAAAATTAAATGCTTTTTATGTTATGTCACAATTTACAGAAAGGTATAGACTTTTAGCAATATTCCAGCAACATCACGGCGGGGGACACCAGAAATGGGCTTCACACATTGTACCCATGCGGTAATCGAACGCGGGTCTTCAGCGTGACGAGCGAACGCTTTAACCACTAGACTACCCCACCGCCCCATATGGATTTTAAACGTAAAGTTCAGCATCATCTGTATATTTATCGTCTATCGACAATTCAGGATAATGCGCGAAGCTAACGGTTTAAAATGCCGTTGTAACATGCAAATGTTGTGCCCGTTGGCGAACATTCACCTATTCTCACGTGCACTATATATATAGTCAGCTGAATAATTCGTTTATGCAGGGGCGGTGGGGTAGTCTACTGGTTAAAGCGTTAGCTCGTCACGCCGAAGATCCGGTTTCGAATCCCCACATGGGTACAATGAGTGAAGCCCATTTCTGGTGTCCCCCTCCGTGATATTGCTGGTATATTGCTACAAGCGGCGTAAAACCAAACTCAGTCGTTTATGCAAAGTTAACGTCACCACAGAATATCGTCTCTTACGCTCAATGGTGCGTGATATTGCGTATATATTTACGGTATTCTGGGGAATAGCCATCGTAAGCAAATGCGTTAAGTTAACAGGTTTAAACTGTCTTATCTCCTGCAAAATTAATCGAAACACTGATCTACAATTTACAAAACACTATCCCATTAACTGAAAACATCAGATGATAAGTCGTTAAAAACACGATTATGTCAAAGCGTTAAAAACACGATTATGTCAATGCCACGAATGCTCGCCTCCACATGTTCGTGGAGTTGGTTTAAAGGTTTAGCTTAACTATGGTTAGAACAGTTTCAGACTTCGAAAATTTAACTTTTAACTCGAACTTTAAGGGCTGTCCGCTTGGTTGTCACCTGATAAAACATCTATCTGACTAAATCCTCAGCCGAGAAACAAAATGTGAGGTCTCCGACAGACGAGATATCGCGTTGTTTCACTTTTTCTTTTTGTTATCCATATTCCGTGAGTTTGGGCTGCGCTTTGTCGCAATATTAACTTATGTTATTAATGTCAGTGAAATAAAATCTTACCGAAATTGTCTGACTGGTAGAACTCTTTCCCGTAGCCTCTGTGATTCCGATTCCGGTTCCTGTTTGTGCAACCGCAGGATATGCAGAAGTAGCGACACCACTTCCGGTTGTCGTCGCTCCAGTATTCACTGGATATGTAGAATTCACAGTACCGGATGACGCTGTTCCTGCTTGGCTTCCAGTCATATGGACCGAGTTGACTATCCCACTTCCGGCTGTTATTGTTCCTGTCTGACCTCCCATAGGATATGCAGTGTTCACAGTTCCGCTTCCAGCTGTCATACTTCCTGTCTGACCTCCTATAGGATATGCAGTATTCACAGTACCGCTTCCGGCTGTCATTGTTCCTGTCTGACCTCCCATTGGATATGCGGTATTCACAGTACCGGTTCCAGCTGCCATACTTCCTGTCTGACCTCCCGTAGGATATGCAGTATTCACAATACCGCTTCCGGCTGTCATTGTTCCTGTCTGACCTCCCATAGGATATGCAGTGTTCACAGTTCCGCTCTCAGCTGTCATACTTCCTGTCTGACCTCCCATAGGGTATGCAGTATTCACAGTACCGCTTCCGGCTGTCATTGTTCCTGTCTGACCTCCCACAGCATTCACAGTACCGCTCCCGGCTGTCATACTTCCTGTCTGACCTCCCGTAGGATATGCAGTATTCACAGTACCGGTTCCAGCTGCCATACTTCCTGTCTGACCTCCCATAGGATATGCAGTATTCACAATACCGCTTCCGGCTGTCATTGTTCCTGTCTGACCTCCCATAGGATATGCAGTGTTCACAGTTCCGCTCTCAGCTGTCATACTTCCTGTCTGACCTCCCGTAGGATATGCAGTATTCACAGTACCGGTTCCGGCTGTCATTGTTCCTGTCTGACCTCCCATAGGATATGCAGCATTTACAGTACCGCTTTCGGCTGTCATACTTCCTGTCTGACCTCCCATTGGATATGCAGTATTCACAGTACCACTTCCGGCTGTCATACTTCCTGTCTGACCTCCCGTAGGATATGCAGCATTCACAATACCGCTTCCGACTGTCATACTTCCTGTCTGACCTCCCATAGGATATGCAGTATTCATAATACCGCTTCCGGCTGTCATTGTTCCTGTCTGACCTCCCATAGGATATGCAGTGTTCACAGTTCCGCTTCCGGCTGTCATACTTCCTGTCTGACCTCCCATAGGATATGCAGTATTCACAGTACCGCTTCCGGCTGTCATACTTCCTGTCTGACCTCCCATAGGATATGCAGTATTCACAGTACCGCTTCCGGCTGTCATACTTCCTGTCTGACCTCCCATAGGATATGCATTGGTATGCAGCATTTACAGCACCGCTTCCAGCTGTCATACTTCCTGTCTGACCTCCCGCTGGATATGCAGTATTCACAGCTTCCGGCTGTCATACTTCCTGTCTGACCTCCCATAGGATATGCAGTATTCACAGTACCGCTTCCGGCTGTCATACTTCCCTGTCCATAGGATATGCAGTATTCACAGTAGCTTCCGCTGGATATGCAGTATTCACAGTAATACCACTTCTGTTCCTGTCTGACCTCCCATTGTCATACTTCCTGTTCCATAGGATATGCAGTATTCACAGACCTCCTGGGTCTCAGCTCCTGCCGGATATGTATTCACAGTATGCCTGTCTGACCTCCTATAGGGATATGCAGTATTCACAGTTCCGCTTCCAGCTGTCATACTTCCTGTCTGACCTACCATAGGATATGCAGTATTCACAGTACCGCTTCCGGCTGTCATTGTTCCTGTCTGACCTCCCATTGGATATGCAGTATTTACAGTACCGCTTCCGGCTGTCATACTTCCTGTCTGACCTCCCATAGGATATGCAGTATTCACAGTACCGCTTCCGGCTGTCATACTTCCCTGTACCTGACACTCCCTTCCAGCTGTCATACTTCCTGTCTGATATGCAGTATTCACAGTACCGCTTCCTGTCATACTTCCTGCTGTCATATGCAGTATTCCTGTCTGATACTTCCTGTCTGACCTCCCATAGGATATGCAGTATTCACAGTACCGCTTCCGGCTGTCATTACTTCCTGTCTGACCTCCCATTGGATATGCAGTATTTACAGTTCCGCTTCCAGCTGTCATACTTCCTGTCTGAGCTTGGATATCAGTACTGGTCTGACCTCCGCCTGCTGTCATTGTTCCTGTCTGACCTCCCGCTGGATATGCAGTATTTACAGTACCGCTTCCGGCTGTCATTGTTCCTGTCTGACCTCCCATAGGATATGCAGCATATTCACAGTACCGCTTCCGGCTGTCATACTTCCTGTCTGACCTCCCATATGGATATGCAGTATTTACAGTACCGCTTCCGGCTGTCATACTTCCTGTCTGACCTCCCATAGGATATGCAGTATTCACAGTACCGCTTCCAGCTGTCATACTTCCTGTCTGACCTCCCATAGGATATGCAGTATTCACAGTACCGCTTCCGGCTGTCATACTTCCTGTCTGACCTCCCATAGGATATGCCATTTACAAGTACCGCTTCCAGCTGATACTTCCTGTCTGACCTCCCATAGGATATGCAGTATTCACAGTACCGCTTCCGGCTGTCATACTTCCTGTCTGACCTACCATAGGATATGCAGTATTGACAGTACCGCTTCCAGCTGTCATACTTCCTGTCTGACCTCCCATAGGATATGCAGTATTCACAGTACCGCTTCCGGCTGTCATACTTCCTGTCTGACCTCCCATAGGATATGCAGTATTCACAATACCGCTTCCGGCTGTCATACTTCCTGTCTGACCTCCCATAGGATATGCAGTATTCACAGTACCGGTTCCGGCTGTTAAACTTCCTGTCTGGCCTCCCGTAGGATATGCAGTATTGACAGTACCGCTTCCAGCTGTCATACTTCCTGTCTGACCTCCCATAGGATATGCAGTATTCACAGTACCGGTTCCGGCTGTTAAACTTCCTGTCTGGCCTCCCGTAGGATATGCAGTATTGACAGTACCGCTTCCAGCTGTCATACTTCCTGTCTGACCTCCCATAGGATATGCAGTATTCACAGTACCGGTTCCGGCTGTTAAACTTCCTGTCTGGCCTCCCGTAGGATATGCAGTATTCACAATACCACTTCCAGCTGTCATTGTTCCTGTCTGACCTCCCGTATGATATGCAGCGTTCATTGTATCACTTCCGGCTGCCATCGTTCCACTTTGAGCACCCGTCGGATATAGAGAATTCGCGGTTCCTGTCATCGATCCGCCAAGTGCGTGACTGTGCGCCGTCTGTGATTGAAGGTTATAAAGGCTACCTACATTATTGAGAATCCCATTCCCAGTGACAGTAGAACCGAATCCTGCCTGTTGATACTCTGATCCTTGTATGTAGCCTGTGGGGCTGCCTGTGATGGTTGTGCCTGTTGCGGTTGTGTCTCTAGCGGTCCCGGGTTCAGTTGCTGTTCCTGTGGGGCTGGTTTCCGTGGGGTTGGTTCCCGTGGCTGCTGATGTACCAACTGCTGTCTTTTCACTGGAAGATACCACTGAGGCTGTTCCACTCTGGCTGAAATCCATTGTACTGACACCATTTTGTTCGGGCAATGCATTAGATACCACACCAGGACCAGCTGATGCATCTGTTGCGACGTTTGCTGGAGTACCAGCTGCTAAATCTGTTGAAGATGTTGATGCCGTTGTTGACGTTGATGAGGCAGCCACTGAGTTAGAAGGCGATCCTGTGTCCGTGGTTTCCTCAAGCAGTGTTGCAGTGTCCCCACCCGTCGGTATCTCCTCTACAAGATTTCCAGGATCCACGAAAGCTTGAGCAACAAGAAAGTTGCTATTCTCCTCCACGCTGGTGACTTCTTTTTTATTCTGACCCGTGGACAACTGTTCAGCGTTCGATTTCGACGCAGAGTCAGACACGATAGAATTTTGTCCATTTACTCCGTAGCCTTGTGTCTGTGAAGCAGCAGTATCAACAGCAAGACCTGCACCAGGACCTGCAGCAGGACCTGTTACAGGTACCCGAACCCCGTTCACAATCCTGTACTCAATGTGATTTAATATTTGAGTATTGGCCATATTCTGGCTTAGCTGTCCATTCGAAACACCATTCTGACCATTGGGTAGAAGATGGTTGACACCACCAAACGTAAAGGCTCCGGGTGGATGGATTGCAGGGGGTGGCGGATATCCCGGGGGTGGTATATGTCCCGGGGGTGGTACTCCAGGGTGGGGCAGGAGGACAGGAATATGTACATGCGGAACAGGGGCAAGATGTCCAGCTACACTGTACAATAAACAGGCAAGAATCACTATCGTCCGCATGTTCTTTGTTCGGGTGATTCTTCTCTTGCCCTGGCGTTTCCACTGCCCGCCTAAGTCAGTTCTAACACTGTCAATCAGACTCGTATTGTTTTATCGGTAAGCCCCTGACCTACTCTCTCTGTATGACGTTTCCGATATCATGCACTGATCGTTACCCATCACGATAAAAATACATCATTCTGACAGGTAGTGTCTCGCGTGAAGGTAAAGCGATCATTACTTCTCTGTATCAGAATCGGGATTTTTTTATGTCACCAGTGTCTCTTCATACCTTCAGGCTAGTAAGGTGCAGCTCAGACAGTTCTTCGACCAGATCCACATATTATTGGGCATTCCCATTTACGTGTCACTCTGTCAGCTTGTATCTATAAATCATTGGTTCTTCAAAGCAGTTTTTACAGTTATGGTAACAGTTTATGTGGTTTATAATGAGATCACATGTTCTCAGGTATGATTAATAGGTTACATTATGTTATTACAAAATAGGTTTTCGATTATGAAGGGACAGTTACATCACGAAATTGTTTGTGTTTTTGTGAACTTTGACACATTATGATAAAACGAGCCGTGAGGGTTAAACAGCGGTTCGATTGAGTTCGTGAGCAGTCCTATAATATATTCTTTATTGTATTAACTCTTTTGTCACATCTAGCTCATATGCATCGCGCCATTTATTGACGTGATTTATATCAACATCACCTTCAGCCCCGTAATTATGATTTTATTAACTTTATTAATTTTAATATTATTTACTGATTAAAATACACGAAGGCAGTATTCAGACCCCCAGCCCCACCCAACCCAACTCCCCTTTACAAGCAGCCCAGAATGGGGCTTCTCCCAGGTAGCGTTTCCTGGTTCAACCTTCTCATCATCACCATCATCATCATCATCATCATCACCATCATCATCATCATCATCATCATCATCATCATCATCATCATCAGAGAGAGATTAACATCCAATGATCGAGGAAAAATAATACCAGCGCTTTGAGCAAGCACTAGTTGCGTGGATATGTGCACTATATGAATACCCTATAATAAATAATAAAATATCATCATCATCATCATCATCATCATCCCACGCCGCATTTTACGTCGGCTACGGTATCACGAAAGGAGTGAGAGGGTATGGTTTTACGCCGCTTTTAGCAATATTCCAGCAAATATCACGGCAGGGGACACCAGAAATGGCCTTACACATAGTCACCTATGTTGGGAATCGACCCCGGGTCTTCGGCGTGACGGGCGAACGCTTTAACCACTCGGCAACCCAACCGCCCAACCACGTAATCAAATCGGTTAAAATCCCCTTGACCTCTGCAGGTGTCGTAGTTTGCTGGATGAAACTTTCAGGTCAGAAAACGCATCAACTCACAACAACCTGCGACAGAAAGTTTAGTTTACGTCGCTTTTAGCAATATCCTAGCAATATCACATCGAGGGACACGACTGATGGGTTTCACACATTGTACCCAAGTGGGGAATCGAACCCGTGTTTTCGGCGCGACGGGCGAACGCTTTAACCACTAGGCCACCCTCTCCAGGTAACATTTGAGTTGGCGCAGCCACACACTGCGACACATAACTTCGGCCGTGTTTACATATTTTAGAAATAATCCACAACACACAATTTTAACGCTTCGAGTCACGTATCTGACTGAATAAAATAATATAAAAAAACTGTAATTTAATTAAAAACTTTAAATTTAATTTTGGATAATCAATCACTGAACGGAAACGTCCTCGTGCATTAAATGTAAATAGCTCCGGGCACAAAATGTACTTTGTTACACTAAGAAAACACAGGCCCTCGTGTCTTTGCGAGGATTAAAGATTTCAAAAAATATATAACAATTTAAGATAACCCCGACTCGAAATGCTTCACGGTACAATACATCAAATTTGTATACATGTTTTTAAATTCTTTAATCCTCGCAAAGACACGAGGGCCTGTGTATGAAAAGGGTTAGAGCGGACGTTATTTCTAAAATTTAGAATCTTCCATAGCTATTTGCCATTCGATGAATTGTTAAACATGAATGAGAGTGCTTGATGCAATCCTACTGATGTCGGTATTTTTAAAATCAAATGATAATAAAAGTGGAAACGGATCCAGGTCATGTTTCGACCTAGGAAAATATTCTTTCCTTTAAAAGATTTTGTTATTTCATGAACAAAGTTTAACTAAGTATTCGTACCACTACGGTCATTCGTTTATACAGTATTACGTTTGGTGGATTAGGACTGAGAGAGAGAGAGAGAGAGAGAGAGAGAGAGAGAGAGAGAGAGAGAGAGAGAGAGAGAGAGAGAGAGAGAGAGAGAGAGAGAGAGAGAGAGAGAGAGAGAGAGAGAGAGAGAGAGAGAGAGAGAGAGAGAGAGAGAGAGAGAGAGAGAGAGAGAGAGAGAGACTGCGCGATGCATATATAATATAACAGTACTTTGACGGTATCCCTGTGTTGTGCACAAAATAATGATCTACATCTACTCGTCCGAAATCCATTTTACAGACATTTCACTTTCACTATCTGTTTATCGGTTTCCTTACTTTTTGTCTTGAGTATATGTATAATATACGTGTCAAAGTTCAAATATCCGTATTTTGTCATCGCATTAACAAAGTTTAACAGAACTAAGTATTCGTACCACTGCGGTCATTCGTTCATACAGCATTACGTTTGGTGGATAGGTATCACAACAGGTTTGATTTAGTCGCTTTAAATAGCATTATAGTAACCTGGCATGGGGACAAAAGTCGACAGAGTTTGTCAGAGTGATGTAGAATCCTTGTAGAGAGAGGGGGAGTGGTGACGGGGAGAGAGAGCGCTTTTCGGAGTAACGTCACGTCTGTCACGACGTCTCACGTAGGAGTGTGAGAGAGAGAGAGAGAGGGTGAGAGAGAGGGGGGGTAGCGGGGAGAGAGGGAGATAGCGGGAGAGGAGGGTGGGGGAGAGATGGAAGGGCGAGAGAGGGAGGGGAGGCGAGCAGGAGAGAGGATGGGAGAGAGAGAGGGAGAGACAGAGACATGGGGAGAGAGGGGAGAGAGAGATCGCGCATTTCAGAGTTGTTGGGTCTTTTTTTTCGTCTTTGTTTTTTGGGTTTGTTTAGGGGGGTTGGGGGATTTAAATTTTATTACTGAATTACAGTCAAGACTTAGCAGCCAGGAAACCGCTCAGTCAGAAGATATGCAGCAATCTAATGGGATACAGGTGGACAAATTTGCGAAACAAGACAAACCATTCACTCACAATATTTTCCCAATAATATGAACAAGTCAAAAACAGAGTCAGTGAAAACATTTTTCTTACAGCCAAACATTATCAGTTCCAAAGTGAGTTTCAGCTTATGGATGTGACAACAACCTTCTGTTAACCATGATAAAACATTGGACCAAAAGGTTTGCACAAATTCACAGTCCCATAACAAGTGACAAATAGATTCCTTTTCTTCATTACAGAATGAACATAAATCAGAATATTTTATTTTATTTTATTGTTTAAGAAATGTATTGGTAGTTAAAATTCTATGGAATATCCTGTACTGAAACCATCTAAGTTTGGTGTCTTGTGTTGATTTAAACGATTTTCGGAAAATACAGTTCCAGTCAAGACCACTCTGAAAATCCTCTTGCCACTTTAACTGTGCTCTTGGAGTCCTTTTGAAGAACACAGGATATAGTAATAGGCTTTGGAGCCTTTATTAATTGAAAGTAACAACCGAGTAAATGGTGTAATTCCTGCACATTGTCCAGTGTTTTCTTTCACTATTTACAAGCCAGCAAAATAGTTTGTTATAGAGCTAATGACATCATATTATTCTAAAAAAGAAACCGTCATTCAATTGATACATTTCATTAAAATCAACCAAAGACAGATAACTGCCATGTTCATCAACAAGATCACAAATTTGAGAGATACCCCTTTGAAACCACCCTTCATAAGAAATTATTTTCCTATCAATAACGATATTGCTATTATAAAATATATGATCAGACAAGAAATTCTCAAAATTATCAGGTTTAATTTACTCGAAAAATGAAGTCAAGTAAAAACATTACGTCCAATCTGACTGCAGAGAGAGACGTGATATGTGTTACACCTATAAGAGTGCACACAGTAGGGGTGTTGATGTGGGTTGGGACGGGGGAAGGGGGTGTGACTCTGCATGCGAATGCTCGTCAATTTCAATCGGAACCGACAGGACATGTCACTCCCTGGAGTCATTGTACCCACTAATGTCAAACAGTGGGGTCAAAGAGATCACTCTTCAGGCGATATCTTCGACATATGCCAAACCTTTCGTCAATGAGTGCACTCGCAATTCATACCTTCAATCAATACATTCCACCATATTTTAGTCCATCCACCAAGAGCAACGTTCATAAGGCATCACTCATATTCCAAACCATCCCTTTCTCTGTCTAATACACTCATGCAAAACACAACAACTCTAGTATTTTGATTATTCTTTACAGTCACCCTCTCTCTCTAACACTGCCAAAACTAAAGTCAATCCCAGCACATTAATTTGTCAAAGTCTGCTCATCGGACCCATAGGCGGATCCAGAAATTGTGAAAGGAGGGGGGAAGGGAGGGGAATGTGTTTTCATAGCCCCCTCGGCTTCGCCAATGCAAAACATTAACTTACTTCAATGTGGACTTTAGTCATTTTCAGAAAAAAAAAGGGGGGGGGGGGGGTCCGAACCCCATGAACACCCATACCCACACCCTACACCCCCTTTGGATCCGCCAA